GGGCTGCGGGGGGCCCAGGACTGTACTGTGGGCTTTCTGAGGCAGGCACTTCAGGCTGTTGTCCAGTGCCAATGGGTGTCTCAAACTGCGAGGCTCCTATTGGCAAGGATGACAGGTTGTCCCATCACACCCAGTTCTGTGTTGGAATTCTCTTGACTGCAGGCAGGCTAATGCTCAGAGAAGACACATTGTCAGGAGGCCAGTAGCCCTGAGGGCCGGGTCACGGCAGCTGCCGGCCTGGGGTGCTGGGTGGCGGAGAAACAGCATTTTGATGTTAGTCACGAGCATCACATTTACCTGCCTGGGACTTGGGATGAAGCTGATGGAGAGTAGGTTTGTTTGCCTTGATTGAGCCTTAAGACTTGGAGGATGTTTAAATGAAGTGGAAATGAATCCTTTTGGGTACAGTGACAGCTAAGTTTTGTTCTGGTAAGGACAAACATGCATTTTATTTTTTCTCTATCTTCTTTGTGTCAAATTGTCCATTTTTTTAAAGAGCCACTAAAGTTAAATCGATTACATTCCTGGAGGCCGCTAAGCATCCTAGTATCCTACAACACATCACCTGTGATGATTTGAGAGTATGGATGCCGCGCCACCTAGTGGTCGCTAATTTTATTTCAGAAAGAATTGCAGGCTTTTCCCTAAACTTCTCCCCTGGCTGGGCTGCCCCTAGAGGTCAGGGGTACACAGCCAGGTCAGATATTAAGGAGTCCTCTCTGCATCTGAGTGCGCTAAGCATCCTAGTATCCTACAACACATCACCTGTGATGATTTGAGAGTATGGATGCCGCGCCACCTAGTGGTCGCTAATTTTATTTCAGAAAGAATTGCAGGCTTTTCCCTAAACTTCTCCCCTGGCTGGGCTGCCCCTAGAGGTCAGGGGTACACAGCCAGGTCAGATATTAAGGAGTCCTCTCTGCATCTGAGTGTGAAGACCCAAGCACCCTAAGCCTCTGGGTGACATTTGTTTGGGACGATAGTTGTCAGATTTAATGGCCAGGGTCGCCCTTAGTGTGTGAATTAGTATAACTCTTCCAGGAAACTGTGGCTATATGGAATGAAAACTTTAAAGTAAGGTGCATGTGCTTTGATTAAATAGTTCCCCTGCTCGAAGGGCTAAAGGTGCTGGGTGTGGTGATGCCCACTTGCAGTCTCAAAAAGCCAGATAAAAAATGTGGGGTGTTAGTCTCTAGAGCTGATGGGCTTGGGAATGGTCTCAGTCTCATCACTGGGTCAACTTATTCAAGAATGGAGGCTCAGTTTCCCCAAATGTAACAGGGAGGATGGATTAAGTCATGTAGAGGAAACTGCTTAGCACAGGGCCAGGCATACAGTTGGTGCCCAATATTGGCTGCTAGCCCTGGACGCCATTATTTTCATCATTATTTTTTGTCCTTTGTATAGGTGCCTAAGCAGTACCCCACACCAGGTAGATACGTTAACTTTTTTTACATTGATTATATGTATATGTGTAGATGTGCACGTGTTGGCGCCACAGTCTGTAGGTGGAAGTCAGAGGACAACTTGAGGAAGCCGTTTCTCTCCGTCTACCACTTGGGGCCCAGGGATCAAATTCAGGTTGTTAGGCTTGGTGGTAGGCACCTTTCCCTGCTAAACCATCTGGCCAGCCCATAGGTGCATTTTGAACCCCGCCAGAATATTGACATTCTAAACCCCTTTAGGAAGAGTCCAGTCTCTGCACAGTTAGGACAATCCCAAGTTCTACTAACAAGTACCTGTTCCATGAAAGTGTCAGCTTTACAGGGGAAGGACAGAGGGAACATCCAGCCCTTGAGACATCTGGGCCAGCCAAGGTGTTTGCACCCACTATCCTACGATTTGAGTTACTTGATGCAGTGTTTCCAGACTTTAACACATCTCTGTTCAAGGAAACACTCCATCCTGCAGCTGGCTGCCTGTTTTGATGTCTGTGATCCGGGGAGACTTGGGGGTCAGCTACAGGGATGATGCAGGTTCTCAGCCCTGTGCTGGCATGGCTGGACCTCAGCATTCCATTTTAGTCTGTCTTTGGGCTCCTGTTCCTTCTGACATCCTCCCGACCCTTCCCACCCAACCACACCCTCATCTGGGGGCACATTTGCTTTGGTTAGCCACAAGGAGAGATGTTTTAGAATGTGTGAAGCCCAGGAGGCGTTGTCAGTGTTGGGTCTGCATGCCATCTCTCATCCCTTTGGTCTATGAATATTTGGAGTTGGAGGGTGTGGAGAGGAAAATGAGAAATCTGCTGGATGCCATGCACTCTTTTGTGATGTCCAGTGTGGTGCTGAACTTGCTGTTGAACTGGTCCTGTAGATCTTAGATGTCATCAGGAAGCATCCTCCCAAGTTGAGTGATTTGAACCCCAGGCTCTGCTACTTAACCAAGTCTGGGGACCTGGGATTGCCCTGTGATGGTCCCGAGCCTGTGTCCTCCCCTCTGAGATGACGGTGACTCTCTGTGATTACAGGGTAGTGTGGACTAGAAGGCCGTACAAGGGTGGTGATTATTTGCATGAACTGCCGGAAACTGAGGCTTTCTAGGTGCAGAATGCTGTGTTGTTAGCACACGACTGATTCCATGCGGTCCCTCCCCGATCCCTGGGCAGTTAGTAATGTTGCTATTCTCATATCACGAGTGAGGAGACAGGAAGAGGGCATGCAGTTTGCCACCTTGACCAAGCCGGGGGAGACACCCCAGCAGGCTATATTACTTCTTTCCTTGCTGTGACCAAATGCCCAGCAAGAAGTGCTTTAAGGGGCAGGGTTGATTCTGATTTACATTGGGGGAGGGGTACAGTCCCTCATGGCGGGAAAGGCATGGCGGTGGGAGCAGGAGGCAGGCAGGTCATTACTGCATCAGCAGTCAGGAAGCAGAGCAAACAGGAATTGGTACTGAAATACAAAACCTCAAGGCCCGCCCCCCTTCCCCCGCAGTGACATACTTCCTCCAGGAAGATACCACCTTCCACAACGCTCCCAGACAGTACCGTCAGCTGGGCACCAAGTGTCCAAACACAGGAGCCTTTGGGACACAGTTTTCATTCAAACTGAAACACTGCCATAGCCACCATGCTCCCTGGCCGCCTGGAGTGACCAAGCAGAGGGAGGCTCATGTGTGTCCCAACACTTGGTTTTGTAAATAAAGTTTTATTGGAATGTAGTCATGTTCATTTGCCTGTGTGTGGTTGGTGATTGCTTTCCCACCACAGTGACAGTTGAGTGATGATGACACACAGCACTGTGTGACCTTCAGAACATAAAAGGGGAACTCTCTGACCCTTTGCACAAGACTTTTCCTGACCCCTTCAAGGCCATGCTCAGGATAGGGGCCTGGATGGCAAGTGGATTTGAAAGTGGGTGAAGGTTTGGTCTTTGGCCAGCCTGGCCAGATCCTGGAGACGAGGGAAATTGTCTTTGGTCATCTTGTGTTGTCTTTGCCATTTTCAGGAGCTTTGGGCTCAGGATTTAAACAAAGTCCGGGAGCGGATGACCAAGTTTATTGACGATACGATGAGGGAAACCTCAGAGCCCTTCTTGTTTGTGGATGAGGTGAGTGGACTGGGGCCTGCCCATGAGCCTTCCCGTGTCCCTTCCCCTCAGAAGGCACTGTGGTCAGGCACCTTGGGACTGACTCTGCCTGGGGTGCTGGACTAGTTACTTTTCTGTTGCCGTCATAAAACACCATGACCAAAAGCAATGTATGGAAGGGAGCTTTTATTTGGACTATAGTTCCAAGGGGTTAAGAGGCCATCGTGCGGGGAGGCATGGCAGCAAGCCACAGGCATGGTGGCTGGTGCTGAGCTGAGAGATCACATCTTCAACCACAGACACGAACCAGAGAGAGTGAACTGGAAGTGGGGTGAAGCTTTGAACTCTCAAAGCCCACCCCCAGTGACGTGCTTCCTCCAGCGAGGCTCCACCTCCTAAAGGTTCCATGGCCCTCCCCAAATAGCACCACCAAGTGGGAACCAAGGTTCCAACACTTGAGCCCATGGGGGACATTCTAATTCAAACACCACAAGTGTTTTCCAGGCTCCTCCAGGCCTTCCCTTGCCTCATACTTTCCTCCCTGGGTTTCTTGATTTTGCCACCAGAGGGCATTTGCCACCAGGGAGAAACCAGCTAAACAGAATGCTGAACAAACCCAAAGATGGACCTGCATTTCTAGGTGATGCTTGATACTGTACGGATGATGGAGGAGGACAGACAGAAAGGATGTGGGTGGCACCTGCCCAGTGGGGCAGTACAGTGTGGCTCTGGGCAGTTTATATTTCTGATTTTTTTTTTAAAGGTGCTACAAAGTGGGGAGATAGGGAACTCCCTGCATCCTCCCCTGCCTGTTTATTTCTGCAGTGCCGAGCATAGAACTCGGGGCCTGCAGCATGCCAGGCAAGCTGTCTACCATAGATCTACACCCCTGGAAGTCTTTTTATTATGTTACTTATTTTTTATCTTGTGTGTGTGTGTGTGTATGTGTGTGTGTTTGTGCACACATGCACACACTGAGGCATGCACATGCCATGGTGTGTGTGGAGAGTCAGAGGACAGCCTCAAGTGTTGATTGTTTTTTGAGGCAGGGGCTCTCCTTGGCTGGAGCACATGCCAGGCTAGCAGGCCCACCAGCTTCCCATCTTGTGGTAGGCATGCATTAAAGGCATGCATCACCTCACTTGGCAAAATAAAAATTGCTTTAAAGAAAGAAAGGTAACAAATGACAATGAGTACTGGCAAGAATGTGGGGAAATGCAGGGCATGGTGGCACTTGGGTGGCAGAGTCAGGCAGATCTCTGTGAGATAGAAGCCAGGGATCACAGACAGACACTACCATGCTCAGCTTTTGTGTGGGTTCAGTGTCATGGCATCAAGTGCTTTACCCACTGAGCCATCTCTCCAGACCTACTTTCTTTTCTTTTAAGATGGGGGAACCGGGGTAGGAAACATTCTTTTCCCCTTTCTCTATTTGCCTACATTTTTCAGTACTGTACATTGAACCCGGGACTCAGTCATGCTAGCCAAGTGGTCTGCCACTGAGTCACACCCTTCTTTCATCATCCTCTGACCTGAACTTTCTGAGTAGCGGGAAGACAGACAGACCTAAACTACCAGGCCCTGCATCTTCTTACCATTCTTTTAAAAAATATTTTTTATTGATTATATTTATTTTATGTGTATGAGCATATTGCCTGCATGTGTGTAAGTGCAACTGTGTCATGCAGTGCCCGTGGAGGTCATAAGAGGGTGTTGGATTCCCCTAGAACTGGAGTTATGAATGGGTGTTAGCAGCCATGTGGGGTGCTAGGGATTGAACCCAGGTCCTCTGTAAGAGCAGTCAGTGCTCTTAACCGCTGAGCCATCTCTCCAGCCCCCTTCTTAACCATGTTGATGTTCTCACACCAGCAATGCTCTGTTTCTGAAGTTAAGTCTTGGACTCACAAATGTTTAGTTACTGTTATGACTTAGAACTTCCATGTAGGATGTCGACACTCTTACAGGATCAAATATTTGGCGACAAATCTTAGAAAGGAAAATACTGTGTGTGTCTGTGAAGCACTTGTGTGGAGAGGGTTGGCCACAGTCTGCACCATCTGCACTGAAGTCCTGGGCTACTGAGGTTTGGGGACCATCTCTTGATTTCATGAGTCAGAGCTGCCTGTCCCTTATGTGGGCATCAGTTAGGAATGGCCAGCCACCATCAACTCCTGCCCCACCATGATTCCACATTGGTGACTCTTTCAGTTCCTCACATACCTGTTCTCACGAGAAAACAGCATCTGGGATGAGAAATACAACGTGGTGGACATGCAGGACATGAACAACCCCTTGTCACATTACTGGATCTCTTCCTCCCACAACACGTGAGTCTCCTGACGTGCCTGGGGTGGCTCTGCAGAACATTGAGTGATGTGGCTGGTGCCCTTGCGCACTGCCCTGGCAAAGCTAGTGGTGAGTGGGTGGAGAGTGAGTGCCATGATGTTTGGAAGGTTCTGGAAAGGAGTAGGGGAGCACAGCTTCCCTTCCCATGTAGCACTGGAATAAATATGCATCACCTGCAGCTTTTCAAAGCCCTTTAGCAAACCTGGCTTTTCATGATTGAGCATCGCATCCTCCAAGTGTTCACTCAGGCAGTGAGCCTGTGTTTGCGGAGATCTGCTCTGGGTCAGGCCCTCTGCCAATGGGGTACTGAGGATTCACCAGTGAACAATATAGGGGCAGTTCCAGGCTCATGTGAATGACCACTAAGTGTCAGCCTTGAGTACAAGCTGGTGGGGAAGCAAAGGGCAGAGTGGGCAGGAGAGTTTCACACAGAACAGTAGCGTGTACAAAGGCCCCGGGTCGGGAGCAGCTGTGAGGAGTCTGTGAGGCTGCAGTGTGACATCTAAGAGAGTAGAGGCAGGAGAGGGCACCGGGGTGAATGGAGCTTGTAAGTCACAAGGAGGGCATAGGGGAGCCTCTGGCTACGTGCCTTGGATAATTACACTGATGTCAAAAGAAGAGGATGGGTTGAGGGAGAGAGAGGTGGGTGGCTGTTGTGGATGGAATGCTTGGCTCAGAGGCTGCAGAGGCTGTAGGTGGACATGTCCCCAAGTGTCCTTTGAGGTGGGACAGTGAGCAAGGCCCCCAGTATGCCATCTTCTTGGTGTGGGGGAAGGTAAAGGTTTTCTCCAAGGCAAATGATGGGGTGGTCTGCCTTCCCTACTACCCATGGTGTGTCTTCCTACTGTACCCGTGGTGTGTCTTCCTGCTGTACCCGTGGTGTGTGTCTTCCTACTGTACCTGTGGTGTATCTTCCTACTGTGCCCATGGTGTGTCTTCCTACTGTGTGTGTACCTGCACCCCTACTCTGCCTGTTGTTTTAGTAGTTTATATCTTAGGTCAGTCAGTTTTACCAAGCCTAGAGATACCCAAGGAACCCTTCTAAGGGGTGTGGCTTGGTGAGGATGCAAGGATTTCAAAATTTGTATTTTCTTAAACACCTTCCCTCTTCTCCTCAACTTCTAATCACTAAATGGGCTAATGAATTGGACAGACAGGTTCTCAAAAGAAACCCAGACCTCCCAACAAATACTTGGAAAAAGTGTTCAACCTCCTTAGCCATCATGGAAATGCAAATTAAATGCAATTATGATTCTGTCTCGCCCCAGTCAGAATGGCTGTGATCAGGTAAACAAATGACAGGTGCTGGTAGGCTCTGGGGAAAGGGGAATCCTATCACTGCTGGTGGGAATGTAGACTGGGATAGCCACCATGGAAACTGGTGTGGAGACCCCTCACAAAATTGAAAATAGAAGTGTGTAACCCAGCTAAACCTCTGTGAAGGACTCTAAAAGTCAGCATACCACAGGGACACAAGCACATCCATGTTTACTGTGATTCAGTTCACAATAGTCAGGAAATGGAGCCAGCCTGGATGTGTATCAGTAGAATGGATAAAGAAATATGGAATTCTTTCTCTCTCTCCCCTCCCCTCAGTGGAATTGTACACAGCTATAAAGGATTGCACTTTTTTTTTTTTTATCTTTTTGAGACAGGGTCTCCCTGTAGCCCCAGCTGGCCTAGAACTCACTGTGTAGACCAGGGTGGCCTTGAACTCACAGAGATCCGCCTGCTTTTGCCTCCCAAGTGCTGGGATTAAAGGTGTGCGCCACCACACCCGGCTTCACAGCTATAAAGGAAATGAAATCATGACATTTGCAGGAAAATGGAAGGAATTGGAAGTCAGTATGTTGAGTGAAATAAGCCAGACATAGAAACACAACTACTATGTGTTCAAAAAAATATATTTTATGGGGCTAGAGAGATTGACTTAGTGGTTAAGAGCACTGGCTGCTCTTGCAAAGGATACAGGTTTATTCCCAGCACCCACATGGTAGCTAACAACTGTCCATAACTCCAGTGCCAGGGGATTCGGCACCCTCTTCTGACCCCCTTGGGCATTGCGCAACATGGGTACACTTACATATATGCAGGCAATACATTCATACACATAAAATAATAATAAATACATTTTTTGGGTCTTTTTGTGTCAGGGTCTCCCTGTAGCCCCAGCTGGCCTGGAACTCACTATGTAACCAGGCTGGCCTTCAACTCACAGAGATTCACCTACCTCTGCCTTCCGAGTGCTGGGATCAAAGGCATGAGCCACTATGCCTGGCAAATAAATAAAATGTTTTAAAATGTATTTTATGGCAGTTTTGGTGGACTAGGTACATGGCATTATCCTAAATTCTACCAGGAATCATTGAGTGTGCCTGTGCTGGCCTCGGGCCCCAGGGACAAAGCAAGGGCCCATCTCTGCTGACACCCAGGGCCCAGTGGGCAACCATGGGGGCCATTAGCTTATTCTTTGCTTCTTTGTGCCTGACACCTTCCACTGAGGTCTTCTAGAAGGATTGCCTTAAGGGTCCCTCACATGCATCCTACTTGTGATTCCAAGCCCAAGGCCACACAATGGCATGTGCATGGCCTAGACCTTAGTCTGGGTGTATCTAGACTAGAGGCTTCTGGCCCCTGGGAACTGGGGCTAAGCCAGTCCCCAAGCATGCCCTGGGTGCAGGGAGATGGTTCCTAGGCACACATTGGATGCAGGACTGCCTCCATCATGCGGACCACCCTCTGTCCCTCAGGTACCTCACTGGGGACCAGCTGCGCAGCGAGTCGTCCACAGAGGCGTACATCCGCTGCCTGCGTGCCGGCTGCCGTTGCATTGAATGTAAGTAGCCTGCCCCGGTCTCAGCAATGCCTGGAAGGGAGCCGTGGAGCTCTGCACCTGCTTCTTGCTTTTTTGGTGTTTATGGCTTGGATAATTGGGGAGGGCAGGATGAGGGAGGCCAGGTGCCCGTAACTACTGCGAGAAAGGTGGCTGAAGATCTTTCCATGGAAGACAGATGTCCGCAAGACAAGACAGAGTGCGGCCTGGCCAGGCCATCATTTGGGGTGCGTAGGAAGTGTCCTGATATGGTGGGAGCTGGGGGCACCAGCAACAGTCATTTATTGTTCTGAGAAAGACAGATGCATGTATATTAATGTAGCACAGCCAGGGGCTACATGATCTATACGTGGGGCTGTGAGGACGACCACCAGGTGGGGTCCTTGGCTGGGCAGGTGGCAGAGCTTGTTCCTGTCCTCTCTTTTCATCACCTCTGGCTCTTTCTTGCGCATGTGCATTGGGGAGGTGCATGCACATGGAGACCAGAGATTGACATCTCCTCAGTCCCTCTCCACTTCATTAATGGAGGCAGGCTCTCTTGCTGAGCCCAGAGCTTTGGTCTAGCTATCCAGTTTGCCCAGGGAACCCTTGTGTCTACTTCCCAAGTGCTGGGACTACAGGCAGGCCAGCAGGCCTTTGCATGGGTTCTGGGATCTGGACCCTGGTCCCCAGGATTGCACAGCAAGGGCTTGGTCTTCCCAGCCCATCTTTGGCTCTCTCCTTGCCAGCCTCAGTGCATCACCAGAAGCTCACATTGAAACAAAATTCCTGAGTTAATTAACTTATAATGATACAGAAAGTTTATTTTCTCTTCCCGGTCTATATCTGGGGCCCATTGTTTCGGCCTATGATGATGCATATAAGAAAATATGGCAGCACTAGTTTGCTTCCATCATAAGCTAGAAACTAGGGGAGAAAGAAGAAGAGGCTGCAGTCCCACAATCCCCTGCAAAGACACCCTCCTGATGACCTAAGGGCCTGTTATACCTTACCCCTCACAAGAGCGCCACCCCAGGGACCAAGCCTGTAACACACGTGCTTTTCAGGGACACCTTTCTAAACCATAGCAGTGTACGTGGCTGGAGAAAAAGATCCTAACTGCCGACTGAGGCTCCCGTTATTAAATGTGCTCATGTTGGTATCAGAGTTTAGAGGCAGCTGAACTGAAGACCTCCTTGGTAGGCAGAGGCAGGCAGATGTCTGTGAGTTCGAGGTCAGCCTGGTCTACATAGCGAGTTTCAGACCAACCAGGGCTATAGGAAGACCCTGTCTCACAAAGAAGGAGGAAAAAGAAAAAAACAGGTCCACGGCCTGAAGAGCTGACATCAGGAAGTAAAACGCGTTATGAGTATCTTTGAGATGTTAAGATTTTAAGACCCCAGGGCTCTCAGCCCAGTCATGTGTCCACCTGTCCTCCTCCTGGCTGTGCTTGCCGGTGTTAAGGATGTGAGTTTCTTCCCTCAGTGGACTGCTGGGATGGGCCTGATGGAAAACCCATCATCTACCACGGCTGGACGCGGACCACCAAGATCAAGTTTGATGATGTCGTGCAAGCCATCCGGGACCATGCCTTTGTTTCCTCCAGGTCAGTGGCTGGTTTCCTGGAGGTGTGCCTGTGAGGGGAAAGCAGCTAGGGCTGGACAGACAGACAGACAGACAGACAGACATAGACACTGGGGACCTGGGTTCCATCCTGGCCTGTCACTGGCTAGTGACCCTGTGGACTCAGTGGGTGATAGTAGTCTCTTTTTTAAAAACATTTTTATTATTTTTATTTTATGTGTATGCATGTATTGCCTGCATGTAGGTAAGCGTACCTGTGTCCTGCAATGTCTGTGGAGGTCAGAAGAGGCTGTCGGATTGCCTGGGACTGGAGTTACGGATAGTTGTTAGCTGCCGTGTGGGTGCTGGGATTCCAACCCATGTCTTCTGTAAGAACAACCAGTGTTCTTAATCGCTGAGCGATCTCTCTAGCCCAGAGTTTTATTTTAAAACAGATTAATTTGAAGCCAGTGAGATGGCTCAGCAGGTAAAGGTACTACCAACCTGAGGACCTAAGTTCAATTCCTGGGACTCTGGCCGGGTATGGTGGCCCACGCTTATAGTCCCAGCACTCAGGAGGCAGAGGCAGGTGGATCTCTGTGAGTTCAAGGCCAGCCTGGTCTATGTAGTGAGTTTCAGGACAGCTGGGGCTACAGGGAGACCCTGCTTCAAAAAGACAAAACAAACAAACAAAAACCAATCCCTGGGACTCACATAGTTCTGGAAGAAGTGAACTGACTCTAGTAAATTGTGTCCTCTAACCTCCTCACTGAGCCAGTGCCACCTGCCCTTCCCCCTCAAATAAATAAATAATAAATAATAGACCTGAAAATAAGTTTAGATTGAAGAAAACCCAGTAAATGGAGGGAAAAAAGAGAAATACAAGTGTGAAGAGCAGCACAAGCACAGGTATCCAGTGGTTAGCAAGTGCTGAGCCATCTCTCCAGCCCCCTAGTGGTCTTTGAACAACATGGACTAGCACCTATGAGATGGTGTTCTAGAACCTCTCTTGTGATTTGATAGTTTAGATAGTTTTGTTTGTTTTGTTTTGGAGAGCTCTGGCTGACCTGGAACTTGCTACATAGACCAGGCTGGCCTGGAACTCACAGAGCTCCTCCTGCCTCTGCTTCCTGAGTGATGGAATGAAAGGTGTGCACTTCCACCCCCTAACCTGCTTGCAGTTTGAATCCAGCTCTGTGAATGGCCAGCCTTTGGGGTTCCCTGCAGTGATGTGCATATCCTAACAGTGAAGGTGATGATGTACATACAAAATGGTGTGGGGTATACCAGGTGCTTAGCACTGTATCCAGTATACAGTCAGAGTTCAGTAAAGAGGATCTGTTCGTTTTGCCATGCGCTCTGCCTCAGGCCCTGGAGCTGGGTGGAGGGCCTGGGCTGTGGGAGCCCGAAGCCTCTCAGTCAGTGCCCTCAGGGGCTCCATGTGTCCTCTCCTGTGTTGGGTTTCCTTCTTCCCATCGGCCATGGAAGCCCTGAGGGACCCTGTGTTCACAGAGAAGGTTCAGTTGCTATGCAGTTGTCAGCTTCCAGCCATGGTAAAACAATGCCTGCTAGAATGGATCGATAGAGACAAAAGGCTTCTTTGGGCCCATAGATTTGAAGGTTCCAGTTCTTGATATTGGCCCCCTTGCTTTGAGCCAGGGATGAGGCTGCATATCATGGCAGGAGCACACGGCAGTGTAGATACCACTCATGAGCCAGGGAGCCAAGTGGGAGGAGGGGTGTGTGCAGGGAGGGACACAGTCCCCTTCAGTGACCCGAGGCTCTCCCACTAAGCGTCACTTCTAGAGCTTTCCTCCGCCTTCCAACAGTGCTACCTTGGGATTGGGCTTTCAGCAGCCGGACCTTTGGGGGAACATTGATGCCCCAAAGTACAGCAGGCTTTCTGGAGTATTTGCTATGGTTTTCAAGGACAGTGCTTTGCGTGGTTCTACATTCAGACTCGTTCACAGGCCATGGTCTTACTTAGAGCTCAGGGACTTTTTTGTTGTTTTTAGAACAGATCTGGTGGTGTTGGATGTTTATGATGCCTTAATAAACAAAACAAACAAAAAAACCCAGCACAGCCACGTTCATAACTCTCAAGTTGCATGCAACCCATGGGCCACAGACTGGATATGCCTGCAACTCTTAGGAACAGTGGCCGAGGGCCTTGCAATATATTGGCCTTGGAGGCTTTATCATAACCCCATAGATGGTGAAAAGAGACTGTAAATACTCCTGCATAAATAATATGTAAATATATCAATATGCATTTATAAATCTGTGCACATATCCAAATAGTTCTTGACTGTGTTCCCACACATCAAAATAAATGATAACACGGGGGGCTGGAGAGATGGCTCAGTGGTTAAGAGCGCTGACTGCTCTTGCAGAGGACCTGGGTTCAATTCCTAGCACCTACATGGTGGCTAACAACTGCCTGTAACTACAAACCATCCTTAATGCCAGTTCCAGGAGAATCCGATGCCCTCTTCTGACCTCCGCGGCATTGCATGACACGGGTGCACTCACATACATGCAGGCAGTACACCCATACATGTAAAAATAATAAAGTATTTAAAAAAATGATAACATATAAATGAACATAAGAGATATGGAAACACAAAATCAGTATACTTATTTGGCTGTTGTTTTGAGACAGGGAAGGTCTACGTAGCCTAGGCTAACTTGGAACTATGTAGCCCAGGCTGGCCTCAAACCCATGGCCCTCCTGCCTCTGCCTTCCAAGTGCTGTGATCACAGGCATAGGTCACCATACCTGGCTCCAATATATTTTATAAAAATAATCACTATATCAAAAGAGAGACATGTGGGTAATGCTAGCACTGGTGACTCTAGATGACATATCCCTTCGCCTTTTCTGTAGGGTTTCAACTTAAAAAAAAATTAGGGCTTTATTTTTAAGTTTAAAGATGTGAGTGGATTAAGAAAAAAGTCCAAGGAAGGCTTGCTGCAGGGTTTGTAGCTTTATAGGATGAACCTGGGAAGGTGACTGGAGGGCGCTCCGGGACTTAGGAGGACCTCAGTTAGCTGGGAGCTGTCCTGGTCCTGGGGCATGCAGGCCCCTCCCTGGACAGGTCTCTGTTCTCCACAGTGCCTGAGCAGTGACTCACGTGTTTGCTGGTCAGCGTAGGCAGTCAATGGGGAAGCTTCTCCCTGTTCCCCTTGGCTGACTTTGTTCTCTGTAGCTTCCCTGTGATCCTGTCCATCGAGGAGCACTGCAGCGTCGAGCAGCAGCGCCACATGGCTAAGGTGTTCAAGGAGGTGTTGGGAGATCTGCTGCTGACAAAGCCCACGGAGGCCAGTGCCGACCAGCTGCCCTCACCCTGCCAGCTGCGAGAGAAGATCATCATCAAGGTGGGTCCCTGGAGGCTGCTGGCACCTGGGAACTGCCATGTCTGGGGGAGGTGCCAAAATCAGTGCCAGGCTTAGGTCTCACCTTTTTTTTTACCATCTCTGTGACCTGGGCAAGGTCATTTAACCTCTGGGTGCCTCTGTGTCCGCTCTGGTGATGGGTATAATATAGAATCCACCTACTTACCCTGGTAGTAAAATATGTGAATGGGTGTGTGCAAAGTGTTGAGCATCACACCCACACCATGGCAGGTGCTCCATCAACTATAACTCAGTGGTGCTCTTAGGAGGTTGCTGTATGAGGACGCTGAGTTCTAGCTGGTCTGGGCTACATAGTGAGATTGTCTCAAACAAAGCAAAACAAAATAAAACAAAACAAAATAGTAATTCATTCTTGGGCAGAGCTCGCCAGGCCTACGAGCCAGGACTGTGTGAGTGTTAGCTAAGGGCGTGTTAGTTACTTTCTGTTGCTGTTATAAAACACCATGACCAAGGCAACTTACAGAAGGAAGAGGTTATTTGGCTTACAATACAGAGGGATAAGAGTCCATCAAGGTCGGGAGGCGTGGCAGGAGGCAGCTGAGCAGAAAGCAGAACGCTCACATCTTCAAGCAGGCTCAGGAAGCAGAGGGAGGAAGTTGAGGCTAGGCTGTGAACCATCAGAGTCCGCCCTCAGTGACATGCTCCCTCCAGCATGGCCACGCTTCCTGTAGGTCCCATGCCTCCCACTCTCCAAACTGTGCCACCAACTGACCAAATATTCAAATATGTAAGCCCGCGGGGGCCATTTCTCATTCAAACCACCCCAGAGGGTTGCCAGTGGGCTGGGCCCCTAGTCCTGCCCTCAGGTGCTCCCAGGAGACCGTGGGACACAGATAGTGACTTACCACGGTTGTGAATGGCAGTGGGGTGCTGGGGCTGGTGACCCTGTCCCTGTGGGGGAGATACCTGGTTTTAGTTGCTCCTGGACACAAGAGAACATTTGTATTTTTGTACTGGCAGAATAAAGCGACCAGAAATACACTGATGTGAAGCGTGCGTAAGGTTAATTCTTCTCATGTGAGGGAGAGGATTCTAGGAGATTTGGGTTCTGGTCCTGAAAGGGATTCGGGCACGGAAGGGCCTGATGGCCTTCGCTACCACCTCCAGGGTAGGGATTTGCAGTGGGGTTTCCACGGGCCCCAAAGAAGCCAATGGTTAGAATTCAGCAAAGGGGGAGGGGCATGGGAACTTCAGTGGGAAAATATCACGTTTTATTTTACTAACCTGTAAGTGAAGTGGATGTTGGCCACAAGCCACTGGGGCCTCTGTCACCAGCAGAAGTCACGGGTATTTCACCCCTCCTTTACGGCTGTCTCTAATACCTGCCACATTCCGCTTGTCACTGGTTTGGGAATTATGGAGGTCATAAATTAGCTTTGCCTTCCTGTCTTTTTAAAGGTGCTAATAGGGTGCATGGCAATTAGTCTGTCACAGTTATCTTTGTTCAGCATCTTAAAAAAAGTTTTATTTATTATTTTATGTGTAGGAGTGTATTGCGTGCATGTATGTAAGTGCACCCGTGTCATGCAATGCCCAAAGAGGTCAGAAGAGGGCGTCAGATCCCCTGGAACTGGAGTTACAGAAGGTTGTTGTTAGCTGCCATGTAGGTGCCGGGAATCAAAGCTGGGCCTCTGCAAGAGCAGCCAGTGCTCTTAACCTCTGAGCCATCTCTCCAGCTCCCTGTGTTCAGTACCTTAAGGACTGTATTTCAGTACAGTTGTATCATTGTCCTTGGGTCTGTGGTGCCCCCAACTTTCCCAGGGTCACAGCATGTACGTGGCCAGGGCCATCTGCTCCCCAGTGGTATTTTTGCCACTGAGTTCTGGGTCTTGGGAAGGGGCACCCTGGGCGTTATTTTTGGTATGCTAGTGGACATCAGCCGTGTATGTCCTTCCCCTTGGGTCAGTGCATGAGAACTCTCTCCTGACATGCAGGGCAGTCGGGGCACTAATCTTTAAGGAAGTCCTCACCTTCTGCAAGAGTGGCAGGGATAGTGGGGGGGGGTGGAGTGGTGGGAGAACGCCTCTGAGGAGCTGACTGAAAGCACAGAGCTGAGTGAACAATAAGGCAGCCGGGGTGGATGGCACAAAGACCCAGAGACACCAGGAGGTGGCGAGTGGGGGGTGTGTATTCTCGGCTGGCTCTAAGACTCTGGAGTGGGGTCTTGAACTAGGTGACCATGTGAATTTTTTTCCCTACAGCATAAGAAGCTGGGTCCCCGAGGCGATGTTGATGTCAACATGGAGGACAAGAAGGATGAACACAAGACTCAGGGCGAGCTGTACATGTGGGACTCCATCGACCAGGTGGGCCTGGGTCCCTGTTTCTCCCCATACCACCGTGGGTGCTGGCTGACCCTCAACCCTGCTGTATAGTCCGAGAATATCCCTGTCTTCCCCTTGGAAGCCAAGTGATCTTGTCTTCATAATCAACCCTTTTCTCTTGTACTGTCATGTTTTCTTTTCAAATGATTTTATATTCAACATAATATGTAATGATATACAAAATAACAAAATTCCCACATGCCCTCCAACCATACATCTCTCTGAGTCTTCATGGCTGAGTGCCCTTTACCCATTGTTCTTCCTTGACCTGGGAGGGACCTCCCCAATTAGAGCATCCGACATCATCCCAGGAACCAGAAAGTTAACAATGATGTGACACTGTCACCTCGTTTGTAGGTCCTATTTCAGTCTTTCCACTTGCTGGATGTATTAGGCAGTTTGTTGCAGTGACAGGAGAAAGCTGACCAAAAGGAAGCTGGGGAATGTTCTAGTTTGCTTTCAAGTGCTGTGGCAAAATACTCTGACCATTGCCAACTTGGGGAGGAAAGGGTTTATTTGGGTTACATCTTGTGGGTCACAGTTCATCACAAGGGGGGTCCAAGGTAGGAACTCAGGGCAGGAACCTGAAGCACAGGCCGTGGAGGAACGCTACTTACTGGCTTGTTCCTCTGGCCTGTGCCCAGCCTGCTTTCTTACACAGCTCAGAACCACCTGCCCAGGGGTGGCACCACCCACAGTGGGCTGGACATTCCCATATCACTCAACAATCAAGAAGATGCCCCACAGACATGGCCACAGGCCAGTCTGATAGATGAAATTCCCTAGCTGAGGCTCCCTCTTCCCAGATGTGTCAAGTTGACACTAAAGCTGTCCTGCAGAGGCAACATTATCATGGTGGGGAACATGTGGGAGAAACAAGAATCTCACTTCATGGTGGATGGAAGGGAGAAGGGTCTGGGGACAAGATAGACCCTTTGGAGGTGAGCCCTCAGTGTCATGGGTTACCCATTGGTGAACTTGGTGCCCTTATGACGCAGTTACCTCCCCATCAGTCAACTGTCAAGTCTTTAATACATAAGCCTTGTAAGGACAGGCTTTGGTTTAAACCATAACATCCACTCATGTCCCTTTCCTGGTTGTATGTCATGCGTGTTAGCTGTCCTAACTCACTGGTGCCTTCCAGTCTGGGATTATTCAACCTCAAATCCCAATTTTTGGTGACAGTAAAGTTTTTCAAGCTTTAACACCTCTCCCATACCCCCTAAGCTAACATGCAGATCCATTTGAGTTTATTGCATGTGTGTTCAAGCACCCTACAAATAAATATAAAATAGCTAAATTTAAGTAAATAAAATCACACTTAAATGTTGTATAGACAGTGGAGTATTCAGCCATTAAGAACGAAATGATGCCATTTGCAGGAGATGGTGGGCTGGAGATCAGGAAGTAAGGCAGATGCAGCAAGACATATATCTCATGCTTTATTACATATGCAGAATTTAGATTTTAAAACCGTGTATCTGGAGCTGAAGAGATGGGTCTGCGGTTAAGGGCACTTGCTGCTCTTCCAGGGGCCCTGAGTTTGGTTCCCAACATCCACATTGGGCAGCTCACAACCACCTGTAACTCCAGCTCCGGGGGATCCAATACCCTCTCCTGGCCTCTTGGGATGCCCAACGCATGTGGCATATACATATACAGACATACACGTAAATAAAAATAAAAATAAACTTTAAAACAAATATTTAAGTGAAATAAAAGAAGCCGTTCTTGAGGCTGCATGGATCTACCCTTCATGAAAATGCAGTAGAAATTATTCAGTCAGATCTTCTCCTAGACACACTGATTTTAAAAGAGCTGAAGATGACAGAGGAATCCAAAAATAGACGTATTAGAGAACCGCCTCAAAGGGGAGCAGCTTCTGTAAAGTCACTACAAATGTGAGTGACTGCTGGGGTGATGACCCACAGGTCCCCGGGCCTCAGAATCCGTAGGACTGAGACCTTGGGGAGACTAATGTCAGCCTGGCTTTCTAGAAATGGACTCGCCACTACTGTGCCATTGCTGACGCCAAGCTGTCCTTTAGCGATGACATTGAACAGAATGTGGAGGAGGAGCTGGTTCAGGTAGGTGGAGACTCACATACCCTTGACTTCTGGAGTGGGGCTCTTCCAGGGAACACCTCCTGGAGACTTCCTCTGTGGCTTGTCTTGTTGGGGTCCTGGACATCAGTGTTAAGGAGCTGTTGCTTTGGGTGCTAAAGCTTTAGCTATAGCTCTTCTTGATTGGTTACCCTGGGGCTTAACCAGTAAGATTGAAGGCGCTTTCCTGCGCTCTGTAGTGAGGAGATGGACTCTCCCTGCCCTGCCCTGCCCTGCCGCCTCCAGCTGCTGCTCATTTTCAAGTGTAGCCCAGGATGGTTTGGCCCTCAAGCTTCTGGTACTGGGGACCTCTGATCCCCTGTCTTAGGATCCAGTAAGCCACCATCAATGTGAGCTGTCAGGAGAAGGCTGCAGCAGGCAGGGGCAGGGGGAGCTGTCACAGCCCCTCACTGAGCTCTTTTGGCCCAGGACACTCCCCCTACAGAGCTGCATTTTGGGGAGAAGTGGTTCCATAAGAAGGTGGAGAGGAGGACCAGCGCTGAAAAACTCCTGCAGGAGTACTGTGCCGAGACGGGGGCCAAGGACGGCACCTTCCTGGTGCGGGAGAGCGAGACCTTCCCCAACGACTACACCTTGTCTTTCTGGTAACCCCGCTTCCCCCTGTCCTCTGAGGCCGGCAGAGGCAGATGGGAGGTGATGTGGTCAGGTCGCGGCTCCAGCTGGCTCTGCTGAATCCCTATTCTGTCCCTGGCAGGCGGTCAGGCCGTGTGCAGCACTGCAGGATCCGCTCCACCATGGAAGGCGGAACCATGAAGTACTACCTGACGGACAACACCATGTTCAACAGCATCTACGCCCTCATTCAGCACTACCGGGAAACACACCTGCATTGTGCGGAGTTCGAGCTTCGGCTTACCGACCCAGTGCCCAACCCCAACCCGCATGAGTCTAAGCCGTAGGTTCCAGGGTTGGGTGAGAGGCATATGCACATGGGTGACATCCACCAGGGGGTGATATGGGGTTCCTGCTCCCAGGATCCCCTTCACCCAGGGTCCCTTGAAGTCTGAGAATTCCCTGGACCACCACTGGTCCCAGTTCTGCTAGTCAGTACTTTGGTGTCTTTCTCTCTTGTAGCCGCCATGTGGGTGCTGGATTTGAACCCGGGTCTTCTGCAAGAGCAGCCAGTGCTCTTAAACACCGAGCCATCTCTCAAGCCCTCTCTTGATTTTTAAGACTTATTTATATTTTATATGTGTGTGTGTGCGTGCGTGCACATGAGTGCAGGTGCCCACAGAGGCCAGAAAAGAATGCCAGGCCCTCTGTAGCTGCAGTCAGTTGTGAGAGACCCTTCATGGATGCTGGGGAATGAACTCAGGTCCTCTCTAAGAGCTGTATGTGCTCTTAACCACCGAGCCATCCTCTCCAGCCCCCCCGCCCCATTTTCTTTTCTCCCCTCCCTGTCTCCTTTCCCTTCTTCACGATCCTGAGGTCTGGGGCACCTTGATTTCAGAGGCTGGGTGTGCTGGATAGCTTTAGTTGGCAACTTGACACACCTGGGTTGAGGGAGCCTCAATCGAGGAACTGCCTCCATTGGACTGGCCTGTGGCCATGTCTGTGAGGCATTTTCTTGATTGTTGAGGGATGTGGGAGGGCCCAGCCCACTGTGGGTGGTGCTGCCCCTGGGCAGGTGGGCCTGTATTATATAAGAAAGGTTGAGCAGGGGCCAGGGAGCAAGTCAGTAAGCAGCGATGCTCCATGGCTGTGCCCCAGCTCCCGCCTCCAGGTTCCTGCCATGAGTTCCTATCTTGAGCTCCCTGATGAACTGTGACCCAGGAGTTGTAAGACAAATAAATCCTTTCCTCCCCAAGCTGGTATTGGTCAGAGTGTTTTGTCACAGCAATGGAGAAACAAACTAGGACACTGTCTGTCTGCTGATCTCTATTCTCAGAGTGCCTTCCTGGGGACTGGACAGCGAGGAAGGGAAACAAAATAACTGGAGGGGTTGAGTCCTTTCATTGCTTTATCAGTGAGGGGAATTCCAAGTAATGCCTGGTGAAAAGGTTAACAGTTCTAGAAACGCTGGAGCGGTTTTTCAGCAGATTGCTGCCATCATTTGTGTTTTGGAGGAAGCTGGATGATTTATAGTGACTTTGTTCTCTTACATTTCCTATCTTTTCATGTGGGAACCTTTTCAAACTTGCCATCTCATAGCTTAAAAAAATGATGTATTATTTTTAAATATTTTTGTTTTGTTTTATGTGTATCAGTGTATTGCCTACATGTATGTAAGTCCACCTTTGTCATGCAGTACCCACGGAGGTTCGAAGAGCTTGTCAGATCCCCTGGAACTGGAGTCACGGGTGGTTGTTAGCCACCATGTGGATGTGCTGGGAATCAAACCTGGATCCTCTGCTAGAGCAGTCAGTGCTCTTAACCACTGAGCCATCACTCCAGCTCTGCCATTACATGTCTTAATACCCCCAAATCCTTCCAGAGCTCACCTGTGTTCCCTGCCTTAGATATCCCAAGACACTGCTGTAACTCTGCTACCCTTCAGGGATGGTTGGGTGGGCAGAGATACAGGAACTGACTCTCCTGTGCTTCCTGTAGACTCCCTCAATCTCTTGAGGTCCTTATCAAAAATTGCTTTCCCCCAGGCATGGTGGCACAGGCCTGTGATCCTAGCTACTCGGGAAGCTGGGCTGCAGGATGTTTGCAAGTTGAAGGCCAGCCTGCGTTATATAATAGCAAGCTCAAAGTTAGCCTGAAAAACTTAGCAAGACCCTGTCTCAAAAATGAAAACTAATTTTTCAAAAAGTAGTAGAGATTGTAGTTCAGTAGAGTTCTTGCCTAGCACGTGACCTCACGTGACATCAGATCCAATCCCCATACTGTAGTAGTTAAAATAAAAATTAAATATAAATTGCTGTCCTTGGAGCATACGTGGCCAGGAAGTCCCAGTGTGATTTTTGTGGCTGTTTCGAGGCCCAGTCGTGGGTGTCCCAGAATCTCAAATCTCAGTACCTCCCCCACAGTGGCAGGTTTACAGTGGGGAGGGCTCTCACCTGCCTGGTTTTTCTGTTCTGGATGCAGATGGTACTATGACAGGCTGAGCCGGGGGGAGGCAGAGGACATGCTGATGCGGATCCCCAGAGATGGAGCCTTCCTCATCCGTAAGCGGGAGGGGACCGACTCCTACGCCATCACCTTCAGGTAGGCCGGTGCCATGGTGTGTGTGGGGTTCGTGCTCCCCAGAGGAGGTGTAAGAAGGGAAGGGGGGACCTGCTCCACTGTCAACAGCAAGGATGCTGGTAACAGCAGCTTGTGCGTCTCAAGTGCCAAGCAGTGTTCTCTCCGTCCTCCCTGTATATTAACTCACTTCACCTTCCAGAAGCTCCAGGGTAGAGGTGTGACCACCATCGTTATTTTCTTTATATATTCTAAAATTTATTTATTACTGTGTGTGTATATGATGTGTGCGTGGGCCCACCTGTGTCATGGGATGCATGTGGAGGACAGAGGACAGTTTGTGGAGTTGCTTCTCAACTTCCACTTCCACGGGTTCCAGAGTTCGAACTCAGGCCGTTGGGCCTCTTGTGTGGCAAGTGCTTTACTCAACGAACCATCTTGCCAGCCCATCATCTTTATTTTCTAAAGCAGGAAACTGAGGCTCGGTAAGGGTCAGTTACTTGTTTATGCCTGTGGGGGTGCTGGGAGTTGAATCCAGACAGCCCAGATGTGGACGCCTCCCATCAGCACCAGCTGCCTTGCCATCCTCTAGACAGGTGGGATTTCACTCCAGCACCCAGCAGTGACAGTGGAGGATTCGTGGACTGTCCCCCTTCCCTACCTGGGTCTGGGTGTTCTGCTGGTGGCCACAGCTCTTTTGTACAGGGCAACATGTCTCATACACTGGACTGCCTCTGAGACGTCTTCTGGCTGAGCCCTATGCTACAGCCTGTGATGGACTGTTCCAGTTATTCTAACAGGAAATCGAGGCCCAGATAGGTTAAGTGACCTGCCAAGCATCACATAACTGCAAAGCTGATACTCTGTCTTCACTGCAGAGTCTCCTGTCAGAGGCCTGGGGTGGGAGGGAGGGCAGCTGAGGCCTGTGGAAGTCTCCGACTCAGCCTGCCAGCCTGCCTGGTGATGTGAAAGAGCGAGACATTTGACTCCGAACTTCATACTATGGGAGGCAGTGGCAGCTCTGAGCCCATGTGTCTTATGGTAGCAATTACCCGACGTGCAGTGGCTGCCCGGGGCGCCCAGCTTGCTCCTGCATCCTCTCCCCACCCTGTTGCCTTTACTTACCTGTTGACCTGCACCTCTGGCTTTGGGCATTTCCTCACATTGTGTGTATCCTGCCTGGTCATTGTCACCGCAGCTTGTTGAGGACCTACTGTGTGCCAACTCTAGCCAGAGAGGACTGTGTCTATGTGGCTCTTCTGTTCTTGGTTCTGCCAACAGAAGGGGCCTGGGCATCTTTCGTGTCTTTGCCCTTGACTCTGCTCCTAAAACTCTGAATGACATCTGCTCAGCCTGGAGAGGAGTCGGTGAGTTCAGTTTATGGGTGTGTTGTGAACATTGCCTGTGCACCTGGCTCCAGGCTGTGGTTGGAGACCTAACTTTTGCTGTAGTGTTGACATTTGGGATGCTTTTATGTGTTGGTGACAAAACCAGATTCAACTGGCTGAAATACAAAGGGAAACGATGTGTCACTGCAAGGTGGGGGACTGAATTCAGCACTGCCTAAAGTTCTAGCCTCCTGAGGGTCCAGGATGCTCTGGTCCACAGTGGTCCTGTCCCGAGGGTCTGGGATGCTCTGGTGCACACTGGTCCTATCCCGAGGGTCTGGGATGCTCTGGTGCACAGTGGTCCTGTCCCGAGGGTCTGGGATGCTCTGGTGCACAGTGGTCCTGTCCCGAGGGTCTGGGATGCTCTGGTGCACACTTGTCCTATCCCGAGGGTCTGGGATGCTCTGGTGCACAGTGGTCCTGTCCCGAGGGTCTGGGATGCTCTGGTGCACACTTGTCCTATCCCGAGGGTCTGGGATGCTCTGGTGCACAGTGGTCCTGTCCCGAGGGTCTGGGATGCTCTGGTGCACACTTGTCCTATCCCGAGGGTCTGGGATGCTCTGGTGCACAGTGGTCCTGTCCCGAGGGTCTGGGATGCTCCGGTGCACAGTGCTCCTGTCCCGAGGGTCTGGGATGCTCTGGGGCACACTGGTCCCTGTCCCGAGGGTCTGGGATGCTCTGGTGCACAGTGGTCCTGTCCCGAGGGTCTGGGATGCTCCGGTGCACAGTGCTCCTGTCCCGAGGGTCTGGGATGCTCTGGGGCACACTGGTCCCTGTCCCGAGGGTCTGGGATGCTCTGGTGCACAGTGGTCCTGTCCCGAGGGTCTGGGATGCTCCGGTGCACAGTGCTCCTGTCCCGAGGGTCTGGGATGCTCTGGGGCACACTGGTCCCTGTCCCGAGGGTCTGGGATGCTCTGGTGCACAGTGGTCCTGTCCCGAGGGTCTGGGATGCTCCGGTGCACAGTGCTCCTGTCCCGAGGGTCTGGGATGCTCTGGGGCACACTGGTCCCTGTCCCGAGGGTCTGGGATGCTCTGGTGCACAGTGGTCCTGTCCCGAGGGTCTGGGATGCTCCGGTGCACAGTGCTCCTGTCCCGAGGGTCTGGGATGCTCTGGGGCACACTGGTCCCTGTCCCGAGGGTCTGGGATGCTCTGGTGCACAGCAGCTTTTTGGTTTGATACAATCTTGTTTGTCGTGTCAGTTTTTGTGTTCATTACCAGTGCTTTTGGGCTTCTATCTGAGGGATCATCGTCCAGGCTCAGGCTGTGGGGTGGTCCCTAGATGTTTTCCTGGAGAGCTTTGATCGTTTCAAGTCTCACCTTTGAAGTCTTTATTCCATTTTGAGTTGCGTTTTACATGTGGTATAAGGTATTTTTGATTGTCTATGTGTTGACATCGTGTTTTCCCCAGCACAGTGTAATGAGGAGACGTCTTTCTGCAACGCTTTCTTTGCTCCTTACAGAAAGCCATTGGCCCATAAATCATAGCCTTGAGTCTGGGCTCTCCACCCCGTTGCTGGAGGTGTCTGTTTTTCTGCGGACACCTTGCTATTACAGAACTGTAGGATGTTGGAAGTCCAGATTTGTTCTTTTTGCTCAAAATTGCTTTGGTCATTCAGGGTAAACACCTGAACACAGTATTTGCGTTCTTTGCTCCTTACAGAAAGCCATTGGCCCATAAATCATAGCCTTGAGTCTGGGCTCTCCACCCCGTTGCTGGAGGTGTCTGTTTTTCTGCGGACACCTTGCTATTACAGAACTGTAGGATGTTGGAAGTCCAGATTTGTTCTTTTTGCTCAAAATTGCTTTGGTCATTCAGGGTAAACACCTGAACACAGTATTTGTCCATATTCATGAGGCACAGAGTGCTATTTTGGCTCCTTTGTGCGTGGATAGTGATCTTGGGGTACTTAGCATAGTTGTCACCTAAGGCTTTGTCATTTGTATGTGGTGAGTACATGTGAGATACTTTTTAAAAAGAAGACACTCTTGGCTATAAAGTTCAGTTCTAACTTTATTTTCAACCAAAATGTTTCTGTTCCTGCTTTTATGAACTAGTAGACTGAAGAGTCTGTCTTGTTTGGGACTTTTTCTTTCTCTTGGTCCAAAATGGATGAAAAGAATAATTTATATTCTTTTTGAAGAGAAAATTCATTGAAACCGAATTTGGGCCAAGATTTCAGGATTTGGGGACCACTCAGAATTCTAGAGCAAGGATCAGAAAGCACTTTCTAGAGAGGCCTGTGGAGTAAGTGCTTTCGGTTTCGCAGGTCATATGGTCTCTGTTGCACCCCTGCAACTCTGCTGACCTTAAGAGAAAATGACTGTGGTGAAGACACAAATGAACAATGGATGTGTTTCAATAAAACTTTATTTATGAAAATACATGGGGATGGCTACATGGGACTTAGCTTGCCGTCTCCTGATCTGGGCACCTCCGAAGTCAAGCTCTGTGTTTCGGGAGGAGCTAGCAGGTTAGCAAGATATGCTGAGTGTTGAGCATAATACACAGATTCTTCCAGATTTGAGCAGAAAAGACTCATGTTTTCATTGCTGATGTTCTTGCTTTGTGTTTCGTTCATCAAGTCGCCTAAGGAAGGATAACAAGGTTATGGCTGATTGTTGGGGCTCTCGTAGCAATTGTGCAGCTGGAGAGTCCACAGAAGTTAACCCCATGTGCTCTTCCCCTCCAGGGCCAAGGGCAAGGTGAAACACTGTCGGATTAACCGGGATGGCCGGCACTTTGTACTGGGGACCTCTGCCTACTTTGAGAGCCTCGTGGAGCTTGTCAACTACTATGAGAAGCACGCGCTCTATCGGAAGATGAGGCTGCGCTACCCGGTGACCCCCGAGCTCCTGGAGCGCTACAATATGGTAGGTTGGCTCCTTTGGGATTTGGTACATTGTTTTATAGACTTTGTCGAATATCCGCAGTAGGTCCTGGGGATTCAGAATCGGCCACGGCACACACAGACCTTGTCCCTATGCTGGTCATAATCTGGTTTAGGAGAGATATAATAAATAAAAAACACATACCCAGTGTGAGACCGTGATATATACCAAAGGGAAAAGGCCGGGAGGGGGCAGGAGTAGAGGCAGGGATGGGGAGGTGGGTCTGGTTTTCTAAGGGTCTGGGAAGCGCTTACTGAGAAGGAGTGAACTGCTGTGGAGAAGGCGTAGGTGCAGAGACCCTGCAGTGGGATGCACAGACAGGAAACTGGGATACAGGAATGGAAGTAGGCCTAAATGCAGCTGCAGACACTAGGGGCCTGGGTCATGTAGGGACTAGTGGGTCACTGTAAGGCACTGGCTTTTAAAATATTTTTATATTTATGAATGTTTTGCCTGCATGTAATAAGTGCACCCATGTTGCACAATGCCCATGGCAGTCAGAAGAGGGCATTGGATCTCCTGGAACTGGAGTTATGGTCAGTTATGGTAGTCAACATATATGGGTGCTTAAAATTGAACCCAGGTTCTCTGCAAAAGCAGCCAAGGCCCTGGTTTTTAGAATCCTAAGTGCTGTAGGATTCTGAGTGAAGGAGAGACCTGACGTACGTCTCACTTCCCGTCAGATGGAGTCATTAATTTGTTAGGAAAAGATTGACTGTACTGTGCTGGTTAGGTTAAACTGTCATCTTGACACCTAGAATCAGCTGGGAAGAGAGTCTTAATGTGGGATTATCCAGGTCAGGCTGGCCTGCGGGCGTGCCTGGGGGAGGTTGTCCTGAGTGGTAATTGATGTAGGAAGACTTGGCCCTTTGTGGGCAGCACCATTCCCTAGGCGTGAATCTAGAACAGTAGTAGACACGGGGAATCCAGCTGAGGGCAAGTGAGGATCCACGTGTTCGTTCCCTCTCACTCTTGCCTGTGGAAGTGATGCCTTAAGCTCCTGCCTTGACTCCCCCACAGTAACACACTGTAACTGGAATTGTTTGTCAGATCAACCTTTTCTTCTCTTAAGTTGCCTTTGGTCAGGGTATTTGTCACAGCAACAGAAATGAAGTTGGACAGTGTCCCAACAGTGTGCCAGGAAATGTGTAACAAAGTCTGTCCTGAGCAAATTTGGGCTGTGGAGGAGAGAGGTAGTTCCTATATGAGGCATTTAGGTTCAGGCAGAGTCCACAGACCTCAGTAGAGGAGGGGCTACAGTGGATTGGGGGGTGACCAGAAGAGGGCGAAAGTGAGCTGAAACTCAGAAGACAGGGGGGAATGGGCCCTGATGGGCAGAGGGAGGCTGTGGCTCTCCTTAGAGGAGCAGAAGAACAGGAAGGCTGGGGGTGGAGCCAGGGCAGGCCAGGACGGGAAGGGGCCTTGGCAGCTGCTGCTAGTGAATACACAGCCCTCCGGAAATAGGGCCTGATGGGTGCTGCCAGTTCTCCTGGTGTAAATGTTTCAAGCTGCTGATTTGCTGTCCTTGAAGAGGGTGCCAGGGAGAGAGCTAGCCCTGGCTCTTGGGAGCACTCACCAGCACACAGCTGTGTCTTCTAATCTGCTTTTATGCAGGGACAGGGTCTGGAACCCCATGGGCCAGGGTAGGAGTCTCTACTTTTGAGATTGTTTCCAAATTTGGGGAACTTCTTAAAGGCCTCTCGATCTGCTTTTATGCAGGGACAGGGTCTGGAACCCCGTGGGCTAGGGTAGGAGTCTCTCTACTTTTGAGATTGTTTCCAAATTTGGGGAACTTCTTAAAGGCCTCTCGCTGTCTTTATTTGGCACCATAGCGAATTCTGTGAGGTTCCAACTCTTCTTTCCAAGGAACAGGAGAGGCCTGCAGCTGGGCTGTGGACTCAGGCCATTCCAGGAGTGAGGAATGTCTAGTTACTTCTGTTTTTTCAGTATTAAGCATTGGACCCAGGACCTTGCACATGCAGGCAAGTACTTCTGCCCCTGAGCCACGTTCCCCACGACTGTTACTTTTCTTTGTTCTTTTTTTTTTTTTTCTAGGAAAGAGACATCAACTCTCTTTATGATGTCAGCAGGATGTATGTGGACCCGAGTGAGATCAACCCTTCCATGGTACGGTACCTTTCTACTCACTAGATGGACAAGGAGTCCGTGCCCCGCCCCTGACCACTCCAGCAGTAGTAACAGGGACTATTCTGGAACATTTGACCATAACTATAATTTTTTTTTGAGACATGTTGATTGACAGTATATCATGTGGTTTTAGGGAGGTTAATAGAATTCCATCTAAATGCAATCATTCCTTTGCTAAAATCCTGAGTCCTGATGAACTCCCTTTGGGCCAAATGGCTTCTTATTAAAAGTCTTTTAAATGTTTTTTCCCTGCTCACTGACTGAGCCCGCAGTGTTTATGAATTCTGTCTGGTTTGCTGACCTCTTTGGGAGGCGAGTGCTATCTTGCTTTCCCACCCAGTCCCTGTCATGTAGCCGAGCAGGTAAAGATGGATTTTGCTTTTAGCCCCCAGCTCTCCCCTGTTCCATCTCAAATTTAGTAAAGGAAGAAATACAGCATCTTTTTTTTTTTTCCTGGGAGGCCGTCTGGCACAGGATTAGGGTACGGGTCTGGCTCCTGCTTAGGAAGGGGTCTGGCAGGTGGGCTCTGCTGAAATCCAGAGATGAGTTTCTTTCTTTGTTAAAGAAGTTTCTAACCCTTGCCCAGTGCAAATATTGAACAAGAAATGCAGTTTTCGGCATGCCTGCAGAATGCTTTAGCGAGTAGCAGCAACTGTTTCTAGAAGCGAAGGCTGGGTTGGTACTGGGACTGTCTGCTGCCTGCCTGGTGTTCAGCTTTTGCAGATTTCACCAATTTGTGGTCACCCCCAGAGGGATTTCAAGCAGATTTCTGTCTTTCTCCTTAACAGGGTGGTGTATTGGGAGTTAATTCCAAAAGCCTTGATTCATGAAACACAATTTCATGAAGCAGTTCTGCCCCTGAGAACCTCAGGCTTGGTGCATGGAGCTGTGAGGACTGTGTCACAGGCCCCTTTTTCTCCTCTTCTAGTACTGGAAGTGGATGCTAGGCAAGTGCTCTAACATCAAGCCACATCTCCAGCTGCTCTTTCCCCCTTAGCTTTTTATTTTGAGACAGAGCCTAGCTGAGTTACCCAGGCTGACCTGGAACTTGAAAGTAACTCAGGCAGGCCTTGAACTTTGGTTCCCCTGCCTCAGCCTCATGGGCAGCTAGACTTACTGGTCTGTGCCACTAGGCCAGGGCTCTTTTACGGTCTTTTAATTCTTCCACAACATTGATAAAATAGGCCAAGTTTATGACAAACCATACCTGCTGTTTGGTTCTGTGTCAGTGGTTGGCAGGGATGGGGGGTCTGGGGTCCTTTGAAGCCCCCCCCCCCCGGTCAGGCCAGATTTGGTGGAGTTTTAAGCACTTGGCACTCTCCTCTGCAAGGCTGATGCCTTTCTGTCACCATGAACCTGGCTCTGGTCCTCACAATCTGTAGTGCTCAGGTACAGGAGAGGAGAAAGGATGGAGATCTGGCTGGCTCCTCAGAGTGGAGCCTCTGGTGGGGCTTTTATGGAACCCCATGAAGCATAGCAAGAGCTTACTTTTGACCCAGTTCTGGGCCCAGCTTTTTTTCAGAGCTAATTGACCTTGGGCAAGGATCTTCATCCCTTTGTGCCTTAGTTTTCTCATCTGTAAGATGGGCACAATAGCACTAACTCCTTGTGGTTGTTGTGAAGATTAACAAAGCCTCTGTAGGCTAAAAGACTCGGGACAGCGCATGGGGCTAGACATGCCGGGACGGTGCTCTGTGGTGATAGACATGCCGTTTCTACCACCGCACAAATATGTCTCTACAACCCTGTGAAATTCAGAAACTTGAAAATTTTTAGTTTTATTTTATGTGTATGAGTGTATTGCCTGCCTGTTTGTAAGTGCACCTGTGTTGAGGGCAGAAGATGGTGTCAGATCCCCTGGAACTGGAGTTACGGATGGTTGTGAGTTGCCATGTGGGTTCTGGGATTCAAACCCAGGTCCTCTGCAAGAGCAGCCAGTGCTCTTAACCGCTGAGCCGTCTCTCCAACCCCGAAATAATAGAAACAAAAAGCCCCATTTTACACGGGGAAGGTGAAGCTCACATAGAAAGGAGAGGTCAGCACAGTTACTCCGACCTCTGTGTCTGACTCTGTCTGGTCTCGGAGGAGGGGTTTTCCCGAGTCCCTACAAGGCTGTGGACCTGTCTCCTTTGGGGATGAAGGAGGAGAGAGAAGCTGTGGTTCTAAAGAGGCTTAACAATTCCAGAGGCTCCGCAGAAGTATTTCTTGGCTGCGCATGCTCATGTTTTCATGGGTTCGCTCTTGACGAGCGGCAGGCATCAGGCGAATTCAAAGTTCCATCTCACGGAGGCTTTCTTGCTCCCACGGATACAGAGCTCAGTTTTGGTTAGTTTTTTGGAGCTTTGAGACCATCTAGCTATGTAGTTTAGGCTGGCCTTGTCCTTGAAATCCTCCCAAATCAGTTTCCCAAGTGCTGGGGTTACAGGTGGGTTCCACTTCAGATAACTCTTGAAAGATGTCAGTGACCTGCAGGTGGCTGGTTAGGGAACCACTGGCCTTTCTAAAAAATAGGGACAAGACCCCCAACGTGCCCAGGAAGTAGTGTCTTTGAACTCCCTGGGGACTTCAGAGGTGGCAGTAATGGTGGTGTAATCCAAAAGCTATTAGTTGAGAAACTAGCGACGTTGGGGTTGGGGCCGCCAGTCCCGCATGCTGTCCCCTCAGGCTAGGCACGTCTCCAACCCACCTGGTGCACTTTTGGAGCTTTGGTTCCTCTGCAGTACCGGCCGACGCCAGCAGATGGCGCTGTCACCTTGTCCTCCTGTGCCTCTGGTGACCCAGTAAGAAGCTGATGGTGCCCGTGATGCTGTCTTCCTTCCCAGTCAGCCCACTGACTTTTTCTTCCTGTCTTTCTTCAAAGCCTCAGAGGACTGTGAAAGCACTCTATGACTACAAAGCCAAACGCAGCGATGAACTGAGCTTCTGCCGGGGTGCCCTCATTCACAATGTCTCCAAGGAGCCTGGGGGCTGGTAAGGCCGAGCGGGGGCTGGGCTCTTGGAGGTGAACTTGACAAGTGTCCTCTTGTGTTTACGCTCAGGTGCTGGCTGAGCTCTGAGTCCTTGTGTCTCACATTCAGGACTGGCTGTGTCACTTTGTGCTGAGTCCCTGGGAAGGTGGCTCGGTGCCTGGAACCTTCAGGAAAGTAGATCAACACCGCTGTTGCAGTTACCAGTATATCATAGATAATATATTTCCTATCACCATCTACCCTGTTTTTGCAACTGCAGCTATTTACTGATGGCTTCTTATATGCTAAGCACTCTGTTAATTGTTTTCCTACATCATCTAGACAAATCTTCCTGACGTCCTGTGGAGTTAAGGCTGAGCCTGTTTTCCACTTAGCAGATATAGCTACTGAGGCTTCCCAAGGTTGCATAGCTGTTGTGGATGTTCTTCCAGTCACACAAGCTCATTGTGATTCTAAATTCAAATTCCTTTGTTATTGCTTAGTCCTGTGTTCTCTACAGTGCCTGTGTAGATTCTTTTTGAGGCTAACGGGACCTAAGGTTTCTGGAGCTCGGTTCCCATTCTGTTGTCCCCTGTGTTTCATAGATGAAGAAACTGAGCCAGAGATGGCAGGCTGAGCTCTGAGGTCAGGCCTTGTGCTGGATAGCTTTAGTGTGGGGTTTTTAAGGTTGTACTGTCTTAGGTTGTGGTATTAACATCATATCTTGGGGACAGAAATTGGAAAGTTATGGTTTAATAGTGATGTTTGTGTGTCAAGTTGACAAGGGGTCAGTTGTGCTGGATAGCTTTAGTGTCAACTTGACACACCTGGGTTGAGGGAGCCTCCATTGGGGAATTTCCTCAATTGGACTGGCCTGTGGCCATGTCTGAGGGGCATCTTCTTGATTGATGAGTGATGTGGGAGGGCCCAGCCCACTGTGGGTGGTGCCACCCCTGGGCAGGTGGGCCTGTGTTGCATGAGAAAGCAGGCTGAGCAGGGGCCAGGAGAGCAAGCCAGTAAGCAGTGATCCTCCATGGGCTGTGCTCCAGCTCCTGCCTTCAGGTTCCTGCCCTGAGTTCCTACCTTGGGCTCCCGGATGAACTGTGACCTGGGATATGTAAGCTAAGTAAGTCCTTTCCTCCCCAAGTTGGTAGTGGTCAGAGTATTTTGTCACAGCAATGAAGAACAAACTAAGGCCTCAAATCCAGAGTCCACACAGCCTCATTTACCTGCCTATTCCTGCATCAAATTCATTTAAAATCAAGAGAACCTCTTAATTCCCAAGCCAGTTCTTAGCTGGCTCCCTCTCCAGAATTAAAGTCACGTAACCCCAGGTGAGGTGCCGCTGCCCCTGGTCTCCCTGACTGCTTGCCCATGGTGGTGTCGGTCTGTCCCCACTCCTCTGCCATGCAGGGACTTGGCGTTGCTGAGGCCCCTTCCCACCGAGTGGCACAGTCTATAGCTGCTCCCTCCTGGTGTTCCCGCCCTGAGTCTGGAGAATCCCTGTGGATAGTGGGTGCCCAGGTGAGAATGCCCGAGTCACACTGTCTTCTGGTGTGTAGGAGACTGTCATGCCTTCTGACACCTCATGTCAACTTCCCCAAGACTTTTGTCTTGAGATGAATTAAGAGACGGGGGATAAAGTCCTCTGGCCAAGTGGGCAAATACAGCCAGTCCTGTCTCATGACCTGATGGCGAGGGCGCCATCTACCGGGCTTCTCCTGTCAGTGACCGTTTTGAATCTTCTCAAACTGGTTCCCATATAGTTAGGGGGACCAACTATGGTTTTGTCTAAATGAGGATGTTAATATCACTAATTATAGGTGGGTAAGAGGTGAAAGTACTCAGTCCTGGACTCTATCCAGATAGCCTGTGCCTGAGCTGGTCTTCAGAAAGGAAGATGAGGGCAGGGAACGGCCAACACCTGGCAGCTGCTGTGTGGTTGGTGCCTCACATCCTCCCTCTGCTTGTTCAGGCCGAAGAAATAAACTAAATGCTTTCTGTCACTGCTGTGCTCAGAGCTAATTAAGAGGAAGAAAGATGTCAGGTATTGGGGAAGGCAGATGTAGGATTCTAAATTAGATGTGAAAGCTGTGTCTGCTCACACAGTGGTGGACTCAGGGTGCTGGAGGAAACAGAGAGCAGCCCTCAAAGGCTCCCTGGAGGAAAAGATGCGGAGCTGAATCTCATGTGTAGGCTGCATGTGTAGGGCCTGGCACTAGACAGTATAGCAAGGACATCTGGTGCCTCTGGAGAGACCATGAGGTTTGGATCACAGGGGGGTCCTGGGCCAGACCCAGCTGGGCTGTGATGCTAGGATCCTGAGGCTGGATCCTGTTGGACCTGGGGAGCTGTCATGTGGTGTGGTCAAAGGTACTTTTGGGATGAGTCCTCTGACAGCAGAAAGTGGCTCAGTGGCTGGTCAGATTGAAAGCAGGAGGTCTGGCTGTCAGGCGCTGCCTTGGGGAGAGGACAGAGGAGCCCAGTGAGGTGGCACATCAGTAGATGGATTGCATCTTGTCCTGCAAGCACTGTGAGGTGGGGTGGGGACCATATTTTAGCTGAGTGATGAGAAGAACACTTTTGTGGTGCTAGGCATTGATCCCTGAGCGTTGTATATGCCAGGCCAGTGCTCCACTGCACACCGCGGCCCCTCACTGGGGGAGTCCAGGACAGTGCTCCACTGCACACCGCGGCCCCTCACTGGGGGAGTCCAGGCCAGTGCTCCACTGCACAGTCACACCCCCGGCCCCTCACTGAGGGAGTCAAGGCCAGTGCTCTGTTACTTAGCTGAATCCCAAGCCCAAGAACACACATGGTTGAGCATTCACTGGATGCAAGATGCTGTTTAAAACACTCGGCATATGGTACTCCTAGGTAGTCCTAATACAATGTGAGGGCAGCCCAGTGCCAGCTCCGTTTATAGATGGTGAGTCTGGAGCACAGGGTACCAGCATAGTCAGTGGTGGAGCTGAGGTTTTTGCATGGCCACGTGACTCTAGATCTTTATATACCCTCGCATCTACATTCATGGCCTTCCCACAGATGGGGTGGGCGGCCTCCCGGGAGTGTCCTTGAGGCTTCTGCTTCAGCATTAAAAATTTTGACTAGCCTTGATCAAACACCAGGTTTCCACAAGGAGTTCTCACTGGTGAGCACTTTAAAAAGATGCACACTCCTTTTAAAGTGCTGTGTTGTCACAGATGGCAACAGCCTCTTCTGGTATCTGGGCTGGCCAGCACAGTCTAAGCCCTGCTGCCCGTGCTTCTCTGCAGGTGGAAAGGGGACTACGGGACCCGAATCCAGCAGTACTTTCCATCCAACTACGTGGAGGACATTTCAGCAGGTGATGTTGAAGAGTTAGAGAAGCAGGTGAGTGTCCATCATCTGTTGCTACAGCTTTGGCCGGGGGGTGGGGGTCCCATGAGCCATCTCAGAAGGCGACTTTTGACACATGCTAGTTGAGGTCTCTGTGGAACCTGGCATTGGAGAAGGCAGAGTGACACAGAAATTGGGACTGGCCCCGAGCTGTCAAGGGTGAAAGTCCTGGTGACAAGCTGGTTATGTTTTAATCAGGCTGAGCTGAGGTGCAAGGCTTTGAAAGCACAGCACAATTCCCCCTGGAGCGAACGTGCCAGACGGGAAATTTGTCCTCTGCTCAAAACACTTGCAAATGAAACACATTCAGTTTAGGGAGCCGGACATGCGAGACGTGCCTGGTGTGAGCAAATAAAGGTGCCTCTCTTGGGTTTTGGTACCTAGCAGCCTCTTACCCAGAATGCTCTGGGTAGGGGAATGCAGCCACTTAGACTTTGCCAGTCCTGCCCCAAGAATGATGTCTTTGTAACAAGGACATTAAATCTGTTTAGAGCCTGTGGTGTTTATATCCTAAGGGAGGATGGACAGTCTAGGAGGGCGTCCTGGAGGAAGGAATGATGGAGCTTTAAAAGTCATGCTGGAGTTCACTAGCTTGAGATGGGCAGTCACCTCCTAAACAAGGTGGGGTGGTGGAAAGGCAGTTCCCAGGGTGCTTGGCTGGGACAGAGGCATGGCCCTTACTGCCACTGTATGGCATCACCAACCTGGCGGGGGCAATACAGCAGCGACTTCATCTCAGCAGGTACCCAGGACAGTTCAAGTATGCAACGGGGCTGCGCTGAGGAGGTTGACCAGGGCTCAGAAAGCCTTGGGAACTAGATGGTAGAACACAGCTGTTGTTTCTGTAGGACACGGGGAGCCATGGAAGGTTCTTGAACTGGAGAGGCAGAAGGCCAAATGGTCTCACCTTATACTGATATCAGATAAGGGCTCTGGGATGGGGTTTGAAACTGGTTCTAGAAGTCATGAGGAGTGTTTTCGTAGATTGGAAGATGAGACGCCAAACAGGCAGACGCTTGCTTGTGGCTGGTCCCTGTCGTCTCTGTGCTTTGGAGTCGAATTCATGAGGAGTGTTTTCGTAGATTGGAAGATGAGACGCCAAACAGGCAGACGCTTGCTCGTGGCTGGTCCCTGTCGTCTCTGTGCTTTGGAGTCTGAACTCTCTATGTGGACCAGCACTGTAATAAAAATGCATTTTAAGCACCTCCACGGGTGGCAGTGCTAAACAGCACGTTCTGGGGCTAGAGAGATGGCTCAGCAGTTAAGGGCACTGACTGTTCTTGCAGAGGACCCAGGTTCAACTCCCAGCACCCACGTGGCAGCTACGAACTGTCCTTAACTCCAGTTCCAGGGGAATCCGAAGCCCTCTTCTGACCTCTGTGGCATTGCACGACACAGGTGCACTCACATACATGCAGGCAAGACACTCGTCCACATAAAATAAAAATTTCACATTATAAATGGCACATTCTGAAAACCAAAAACGCGTGTCTTCTCGTTCCCCCTTATGCCGACCCAGACTTACATTTTTTCCTTCACAGATTATTGAAGACAACCCCCTTGGGTCTCTCTGCAGAGGTATTTTGGACCTCAATACCTACAATGTCGGTATGTACACATGTTATCTTAGCCTGATTCCCACACACATCCCCTAGTTCCTGAACCTCGGGTTCAGCCCAAGAGGAGAAGTGGTTGACCCTGGGCCCGTGTCACTTGCACCTGGGTGAGGCACCGGCTGAAGCCAGGTGCTTGGGGACACATGGGTTCGTCATGGTGGGGTCTGCTGTGGGTACCCACACACAAGGATGTCAGAGCCCTGGCTGGTCCATGAGGAGCACTGGTGACTATCACCTGGTGTTATCAATGTCGTCTTTGTGGGTCAGCATCTCCCGATGTTAACGTGCTTTTGGGTGGCTGAGCTGTTAGACAGGCTATGAGGGCTCATAAAATTGGGAGTCTCAGCCTCTAATCTCTTGAGACACATGCCTGTCACTCCCCTCTGAGCCTCAGCTGCCCTAGGAAACCGAGTCTACCACACTGCGGGTATGTGTCACCATGGTTGTGACTGTGTAGCCTGGGTGCAGGTGTACACAGAGATTGCAGGCCATGATTTGCACACAGCTCCCCATGTCCATGTTTAAGTAAGTGTGCTGCAGCTCTTGTGGGAGGGGCCTGGCCTGCAGGGGATGTTCAGGGCACAGAGCCCAAGCTGCCTTCCTGTCTGAGCTGCCTGTGTCCCCTGCAGCTCACTGGGTCCTGAGCTAGGCCTCATCCTCCCTCCGTCCCCTCCGATGACAGACGTCTGCCTTTCTCTTCCCCTTTGTGTGAACTGGGTAGGGAAGGTGGAAGGTCTCAGTGGACAGATGAGGAAATGAGTTGCCACAGCACTGACTTGAGGTTCCGTGGTGAGTTCCCGAATACTGGGGACTGTCACCTTCATGGCTGATGCTCTGTGTCATCTCCTTTCCTGTACTGTACTGTCCTTTAGATGACGTGAGGACATCACTCAGTAGGGACTTATCAGGTGGGATCTACCCTTGGCTCTGCCACTCCTGGCCATGTACTTTTCCAGGACAGATGAGGAAATGAGTTGCCACAGCACTGACTTGAGGTTCCGTGGTGAGTTCCCGGATACTGGGGACTGTCATCTTCATGGCTGATGCTCTGTGTCATCTCCTTTCCTGTACTGTCCTTTAGACGACGTGAGGACATCACTCAGTAGGGACTTATCATCAGGTGGGATCTACCCTTGGCTCTGCCACTCCTGGCCATGTACTTTTCCACATTTCCTTTTCTCTCGAGCCTCATTCTTGTCTCCTGTAAGATGGGTGCATCAGGCCTAGTGCCCCTCAGGATTTGATAGAACTGAGGGAACACGACAGTTACTGATGGAGGGTATCATCTAGCACCTCAGGTCAGAAATCTTACATTGATACTGGGTAACCTTAATTTTCTTTAAAATTGCCCTCTTGAAGAGAGACCCCCCCTCAATGGCTGGCCAGCTTGGGCACACCCTGGCTGTGTCATGTCCTCGGTCTGGTTCCCACTCACCCTCTTCTTTCCCCTACGAGGGCATCTGACCTTGGATTTAAGCCCAGGATGTCTTGAGACAGTTGGGTGGATCTACAAAAGTGCTTTTTCTAAATAACATATTCACAGAGATGGAGATTCACAGAGATGGAGGTTTGACATACGTTTCTGAAGACGTAAGTCAACCCACTGCAAACCTTAAGCAATGATGTGTGCAAAAGTTCAAGAAACTGCCTGCTAGGTTGGCATCGCTTTCCGTGCTGACTGTGACTGTGTTGGTGGGGTCACTGGAGGACAGTGTGAGGTGAGGTCTCTGTGACCACTAACTGAGCCAAGAACAGCTCTTTATTTATTCCCTCTCTGCAGTGAAGGCCCCTCAGGGGAAAAACCAGAAACCATTCGTCTTCATCCTGGAGCCCAAGAAGCAGGGGGACCCTCCCGTGGAGTTCGCCACAGACCGTGTGGAGGAGCTGTTCGAATGGTTTCAGAGCATCCGGGAGATCACGTGGAAGATGGATACGAAGGTAGGCATCCCTGCACTGGGGCTGAGCCCACCGATGGGTCCAGGCAGCAGGACGAGATGGCCTTGGGCCATGCAGAACTTGGTGAGGAGGTGAAATGGGTCAGACAGTGGGGGTGCTTGTGGTTAGAATGGGGAGATGGCCTATCAGTAGAGTGCTTGACCTGAGTTTAGTCCCCAGCACCCTCTTGACAAAGCCAGGTGTCCTAATGTGTGTTTATAATCCCAGCACTGGGGATGTAGAGACAGCTGGATGCCTGGGGTTGACTGATCAGTCTAGCCTCCTAGGAGGGTTCCAGGCCAGTGAGAGACCTGTCTTAGTTCAAAAGACAGATGTCTGCTGAACAATGCACAAGGTTGTTCTCTGGGCTCCACACACACACTGGCACGTTCCTAGAACATGCACCAACATACACAAACACCAAAAGAGGAAAGAGATGTGGAGGCCCCCGGTAAACCTTCATTAGGCGTTGTGGGTGCCGTGGCGCCACTGTCAGGTTGGCCTTGTCTCTTACCCTGGAGCTGTTATCTCCCTCACAAGACATTTGGCAAAGCAGCCCAGACTCTTCTGGTAGCAGATACTGAGCTTACCTTCCTCATCCTAGGACAGCCCCAAGACCCAGTTTCCCTGTGGAGGGACTTCTCTAATGGGAATGACCTTTTCTAGGGTTTTCTAAGGGGAGCACCAGCATTTGGCTGGCAGAGTTTTTAAATTTTATGTGTGTGTTTTGCCTGCATGTAAGTGTGCCATATGCGTGCAATGCTTTCAGAGGCAAGAGGGTACTGGACCAGCAAAAGCAGGAACAGACTGGGTAGTCACAAGTTCAGGAACTAGAGTTACAGATGGTCGTTAGCTGCCATGTGGGTGCTGGGAATAGGTCCTTTGCAAGTGTAGCCAGTGTTCTTGACTATCAAGCCATCTCCCCAACCCCTGCTGGTAGTGTTTTGAGAAAGGGATTGGGTGAGAGCAAGAAGCTTGAAATTAGCCTGGGGTTTGCATTTGGGCACGCAATCAAATTTCTGCAGACCTCAGTTTCCCTGGTCCGCAGAACAAGGAGCCAGACACTCCACTGGAAAGCTGACTTGAAGTTGTCAAGAATGACACATGCTGTAAGCTTGAGGCCTGGTGCTGAGTCAGAAACAGGGTCTGATCGGTCCTTGATGGGGCCAAGGTGACAGGAGAACACTCATGTACCTCCCCACCTCCCTGGCCTCAGATCTTTCTTGCTTCTGAGGTGCTAGAGATTAGGTAGCATCGGGGAAAGCAGGAACAGACTGGGTAGTCACAAGCTCAGGGTCCACCCAAAGTGCCTGATAGCAGAATGACAAAGTCCACTTCATGGACGACGGATGACTGGAGGACTGTGTCTGGGCTCTTTCTGTGGCTGTAGAGCTAGCAAGACATTTGAGAGTTTTCCAAGCGCCTACTTGCTTCTAAGGCAGATCTGACCTCAAAAGACTGATTTTAAAGTTTTACTGGGGCCTCTCAGACCCCTGAGACCTTTTGCTGGGGTTGAGTTTCTTTTCTTCAAGGTGGAGGGCTCACCTTTCTCCAGCAGCCTGGTCTTCCATCCCCCAAGAAGGTCACATCTCGGCCAGTTCATGGTCACCAGGAGTGAGACTCACTCCACCTCCTCAGAGGGAAGGGTTGTCTCATTTTTCAGTATTGTGATCTCAGACTCTTGCATATGCCAAACAGGAACTGAGCTCATCCCAGCCCTTATGTTGTCTGCTTCATTCATTCATTCTTTTGTGAGCATGTGGAGACTAGAGGGAAACATGTTTCTTCACCTTATTTTCTGCGTATTTATTTTTGCCTGCATGTATATAAGTACATCACTTGTGCAGTGCTGCAGAGGGTGTTGGATCCCCTGGAACTGGAGCTGCAGATGGTCTTTATCAAGCACGTGGGTGCTGGGAACTGAACCTGAGTCCTCTGGACAGCAGCCAGTGCTCTTCATTTCTCTCTCCAGCATCTTCATTTTTTTGAGACAGGGTCTTTCGCTGGACCTGCAGCTCACCGATTGGCTAGACTGGCTGGCCAGCAAGCTCCGGGGAAGCTCTCGTCTCTGCCTCCCTGGGATGGCAGGCTCACTCTGCCTTTTCATGTGCGATCAGGGGATGTGAACTTATGCCTGTGCAGCGAGTGCTGTACCGCCCTTGCCATCTTCGGATGCCTTCCTGCACAAGGCCTGTCTGTGCAGCCTCCTTGGTACGGTCGTCTTTCCCTTTCCAGAACCAGGTTTCTTATCTGTGGTTCCTAATTCTTCCAGGGCTTGTCCACCATCATCAGGCCCTTGGGCTTGACCATGAACCACCCAGTCTGTTTGCCTCCCCTGATGGGTGCACACTACTGTGTTCTCTAGTGCTCCGGATGTGATACAGATCTGAGGTGGGGGGAGGGGTGCTACTGCTCCGAGCCACTTCCTCCTAGCCGTTTTCTCTTTGCCCACTGAGGGGTTATTTGGCATTGCATGCGACCCTCCTGAGCATCTGGTATTTAAGATTCTGAGTCCCTTGACCGAGGATGGAAGAGGCTAGAAGCCCTTGTCCTGTGTGCTTTATTCCCAAGCATCCAAGCTGCCTCAGAGAGTGGCTTCAGGGTCGTCCTCCTGTGTCAGCCTTCTGAGTGCTGGAATTAGGGATAAGTACCACGACACCACAGCACGCTGATCTTGGGAGCTATGTAGGGTCCAGCCGGACTAGCGCGTGATTGAGAGACAGACACCTCCACCTCCTTTATCCACTCACAACCATCCTAGCCTTGATGCTCTGGCTCTCCCTCACTTTGCACCCAGGACCTTCAGACTGGAGGAGTCAGCTGTAGGCCTATTCAAGGCCTTCCTGGTGATATGACCGTGTAGAGGGTCTGCTTGTTGGTCATCGCCAGTGTCCACCTTGGCTCTGGAGATGACGCAGCACACATGCCTGAAGGTGCTACCACAGTAGGAATGGGCACTCATGTTGGTGGATTTCCCAAGGGTGACCTTGTGATGCGTCCCCAGGGCATCTAAATGCTGCCGTCTGTTGATGCTGAGTGTCTGGCAGAGTGTTAGAGCTTCCTAGTTCAAGCCTTAAGGCAACCCTGGGGACGGGGAGGGTGAGCATTCACATTAGCCTGGTTTTACAGTTGGGGAAACTGAGGCACAGAGGGATTATAGGACTTTCGCAGTTGACACAGTTTGTCAGCAGCAGGACAGGGTTTCAAGCTTCTGTCTCTGACTCTAGCTCCAACTGTCTTAACTGTGTTGTCCCTCTCCAAATCACCACTCCCCACCTGACACCAGGGTTCCCTGCCAATGGACACGTCTCAGTGGGGGACAGGTCTACTAACATATTTTCCAGGACCGATGGATGAAGCAGGGCTGAGACCAGGTGTGGCAGGGAATGAGCTGGAAGCTTTCTAGAAGGCATTCTCCCTGAATCATAGATGGTTCCCTCTCCATGGAGGCTTCCCCAGGAAGGGATGCTGGTCCAGGTGGAGTTCTGCTGTACCAGCAGGAGAGGGAGGCCATCGCTGCCATTGAGGGGGACCCCAGGCTCTGAACTCTGGTGCTAGATACAGGAGGCAGCAGACCTCACACAGGTGGCATCCTATCCAGGACCTGGTGGCTGATGATGAGAAAGGAGGCAGGCAGGGCAAGAGTGAGCTTGCACTTTGAGTCAGCCAGTAGCTTATGCGTCTGGCCTTGACACTGGCTGTGCAATCTGGAGTCAGGTACTCAATCTGTGTAGATGGAGGTAATTCTGCCTTAGGATGTGTAGACACCTTGACAATATTCCTCAAACATTTCACATGAGATGCTAAGGGGAGATGAGAGGTTCATTCTTAAAAATATTCTATGTAGCTTTATGTGTAAGTTCACCTGTGTTATGCAGTGCCTGTGGAGGTTGGAAGAGGGCATCAGATCCCCTCGAACTGGAGTTATGGTTGTTAGCTGCTGTGTCGGTGCTGGGAATTGAACTGAAGTCTTCTACAAGAGAAGCCAGTGCTTTTAACCCCTGAACCATCTCTCCAGCCCTGAGCAGTTCATTCTTAATCTGGTAGCATTACACAGTGGGTATGTGAAGGACTTCCTCCCCATCCCCCTGCCCATGTGCTGTGACCTGGGCCCTGGGGAGACAGCCAGCCCTCTTGACTGAGCTGTGCAGGGCAAGTTGGAGGCAGGGAAGAGGTTGAACCTGTTTCAAGGGTGCAGGGGATAGAGGTGCTGGTCTGTGGGACCTATCAGGGTTTGGAAAATGAGAGTTCTGTGAACTATAACAATGTAGCTTTAGGGGGAAAGGGAACAGGACAGGAGGCAGAGAATAGCATGGGATGATAAAAGTTCCCTTCCCTCTGGCCTCCATCTGCTTCAGATTGGCTTTGAATGTGACCTCTTGCCTCAGCCTCCTAAGTGCTGGGATTAAAGCCGTGCTCCTACCTAGTGTGTGTGTGTGTGTGTGTGTGTGTGTGTGTGTGTGTGTGTGCCTGTGTGCATGTTCTGAGGCCAGAGGAGGGGATCTGGTTTCCTCCTCTGTACCCATCACTTTGTTCCTTTGAGGTAGGGTCTCTCTTTGAACCCAGAACTTAGGTTTTTCAGGGAGGCCAGCAGCAGCATGCCCCAGAAATCCTGTCTCCTCCCCCAGCAGGCACTGGGGTTCCAGGCATGTGCAAGACCTAGCTTGTAACATGGGTGCTGAGATCAGAACTCAGGCCCTCATGGTTGCACAGCAAGTCTCTTAACCATTGAGCCAGCTCCTCCCACCCACTTTTGGGAGTTGTGGCAGGGCTGTTCCAGATGCCGAGTCCTGGCTGGGAACATAGGATGGGGAAGGGAACAGGGAAGGTGGGTTGTCTACAGGACAGGAAACTGTTCTACCCTGGGTATTCAGAAGGGCTGGCCAGGTGTGAGTGGCATTGCGCAGATGCCGGCTCGGCACCGCAGCCGATGGTGTGGACTTCCCACAGGAGAACAACATGAGGTACTGGGAAAAGAACCAGTCCATCGCCATTGAGCTCTCCGACCTGGTTGTCTACTGCAAGCCAACCAGCAAAACCAAGGACCATTTGGGTAAGTCTCTTGGGACTCTTAGTTGCTGTTTGCCAAGTCCGATACCATCAGAGAGGGCGTAGGGAACATTCACCTCCTTCGTGGAAGTTTGGCAGAAGCCTTCATGGAAGTTCGGCAGAAGCCTTTCTGGTGCCTCCACAGCAAGGATGTTGGTAGTTTAAAAACAAAACATAAATTATGATATGTCCAGATGGAAAAGCTATGGGAAAACTGGGTCTTTTTATCATGTAAGACCTTCCTGTAGTGCCGGACACTGCCAAGGGTGAGTGGTACCAATTAAGGCACAATTGCCACCGTCCTTAGGAGTCTTCAAATGTGTGTTCCAATTTCATTTCTGTTGCTGTGATAAAATACCTTGACCAAAAAAAACCTAGGCAAGAAAGGGTTTGTTTTAGTGTGCAGCCCCAGATTACAGCATAGCATTGAGGGGAAGTCAAGGCAGGACCTCCAGGCTGCTAGTCACCTCACCTCCACCATCAGGAGCAGAGAGAGATGAATGGACGTATGTTTAGCACCCAGTTTGCTCTCTCCTACACAGTCCAAGGCCAAACCCAGGGAATAGTGCCACGCACAGTGGGCCTGGTCTTCTCACCTCAGTTAACATAATCAGTCTCCTGTAGACACACCCACAGGCCAGCCTGACCTAGGCAGTCCCTGAGACTTTCTTCCCAGGTGGTTCTGGGTTGTGTCAAGATGACAGTTAAAACTATCATCTTGTATGTTCATATTTGCAGGTGCATATACATATACGTGTTTGGAGGCCAGATATCAATGTTGGCAGTCCATCAGGGCGTTTTGAGACAGTGTCTCTCATTGGTCTAGGACTCACCTAGTAGGCTGGGCTGGTTGGCCAGTGAGCCCCAGGTATCCATCTGTCTCCACCTCCCCACTGCTGGATACTGGGATCCAGCTCAGGTCCTTGTGCATAGAAAGCACATCAGCCCCAAAGGGTCTCTTGGTTTCCTTTTATCACCTGGATCCCCAACCCTTGCAGTGAAGGAGTCAGGACCAGAATAAAGGATGGTCTCTTCCTGTGTGCAGAAAACCCCGACTTCCGAGAAATCCGCTCCTTCGTAGAGACGAAGGCCGACAGCATTGTCAGACAGAAGCCGGGAGATCTCCTGCGGTACAATCACAAGGGCCTGACCCGAGTCTACCCGAAGGGACAGAGAGTTGACTCTTCAAACTATGACCCCTTCCGGCTATGGCTCTGCGGCTCCCAGATGGTGGCGCTCAATTTCCAGACTGCAGGTAAATGGCTCAGGTACCCGGCCTGGCCGGGCCAGGTAGTAGCCACGTCATCGAAGGCAAAGCCAGCTGTGGAGTCTGAGCACAAGGGGTTGGTCTCAATGCCTGTCTTGGGGCCTCCTTTCTTCCTCTTCTTGTGGCCATTTGTTTTTGAGGGCTTCATGCTTATACTATCTTCCAGAGAGGTTCACAGGGTGGGGAACCATCCCCTCCCTCCACACTCCCCACACACAAACTTTCAAGCATAAGCCACAGCGGTTTGCACTTGTTCAGAGCTTACTGTGCATTGTTTATGGCCATGTGGATTTCATGTCCCGTCTTTGTCTACCACAGACGCTGCTGCCTTGAGGACGCTCCTATGAGCATCCTTCCCAGGTCTAGGTGTATAGCTGGGGCATAGATATCTCTTCTGGGCAGGGCAGGCGGGTGCCATGGAACTTGTGTTTTGATAAACTGAGCAGCTCTATCCAGCTGCGCTGGAACTGTGCCTGAGCTGCTGGGACGCTCGCCCTGGTTCCTCCCCTACACTGGGCAGAAGTACAGTCCTTTGATGTAACTTCAGTACTGTGCTCCTATGGAGCTCTTCCCATCTTTACCCATCAGATAGGTGAAAACTGATGCCAGATTGTAGAGTTTCTCATAGGGCGTTGTTGACTGAGTGATGTTAACCCATTTTTCTACGGACTCAAGGGCTGTTTGAGTTTTTTTTCCTGCAAACTGTTCCATCATCTTACCCAATGTATCAACAAAGCCATCTTGTACGTGCCTGTCATTTGAACAAAAGTGATTGAATTACTGTATGTGTGTGGGCATGTGTGCCATGGCGTACGTGTGGAAGTCAGAGGACAGCTTGGTGGAGTCAGTTCTCTCCATTTACTTGAGTTCTAGGGATTGAACTCAGGTTATCAGGCTTGTGTGGCAAGCACCTTTACCCACTGAGCCATCTTACCAGCCCTTGAACTAACATGCTTTAGTTTAGAACTTGCAATGTTTTTTTGGTGCTAGGGATGGAACTCAGGGTCTTATAAATGCCAGGCAAGTGCTCTAGCCCTGTTCCACGCTTCCTTTTAGTGGATTTTAATCTCCTAAAGGCCTCACTCTTCCAAATATGACAGAAGATTGTTCCTGATGTGAGGTTCTTTTTTAATCCCTCTCCCCATGTTTTCTTGGAGTCAAATATCTGTTTGCTTTTTTTTGTTTGTTTGTTTTTGAGACAGGGTCTCAACCATACGTCCCTGGCTGGCCTGGAACTCAGAGATCCACCTTCCTCTGCCTCCTGAGTGATGGGATTAAAGGCATGTGCCACTGTATCTGGCTTCAGATGCCTTTTTTAAAAAAAAAAATTTTATTCCATGTGTATGAGGGTATAGCCTGCATGTATGTGAGTGCACCCATGTTGTGCAATGCCTTGAATGTCAGAAGGTGGCCTCAGATTCCCCTGGAACTGGAGTTAAGGACGGTTCGTAGCCACCATGTGGGTGCTGGGAATCGAACCCAGGTCTTTTGCAAGAGCAGTCATTGCTCTTAACCTCTGAGCTATCTCTTCAGCCCCAGATGCCATTTAAAAAAATTATTTTATGTGTTTGACTGTTATGCCTGCATGTAGGTAAGTGCACCCATGTCCTGCAATGCCCACAAAGGTCACAAGAGGGTACTGGATTCCCTAGAACCGGAGTTACAGATGGTTGTTAGCAGCCACACGGGTGCTGGGAAACAAAACCCTGTCTGCCGCAAGAGCAGTCAGTGATCATAACTGCTGAGCCATCTCTCCAGCCCCCTCAGATGCCATTTTAAAAAGATTTATGTGTATGAGTGTACTGCCTACTTGTAAGTGCACCTGTGTCGTATAGTGCCCCAGGAGGTCAGAAGAGGGTGTCAGAGCCCGTGAAACTGGAGTTATGGACAGTTGTTAGCCGCCTCGTGGGTGCTGGGAATTGAACCAAGGTCCTCTGCAAGAGCAGCCAGTGCTCTTAACCACTGAGCCAACTCTCCAGCCCCCAGAGACCTTTTTGAACAGTGCCATGAACCACCAAACAAAGGGTGTGCACCCATGCCCGCCAGGTGCCAGAGTCCCAGTCACCTCACACCCCCCTCCCCCTGTCTCCTTCCAGACAAGTACATGCAAATGAACCATGCGTTGTTTTCGCTCAATGGGCAGACGGGCTACATCCTGCAGCCCGAGAGCATGCGGTCTGACAAGTACGACCCGATGTCCCCAGAGTCGCAAAGGAAGATCTTGATGACTCTCACCGTCAAGGTAGAGAGAGGGGCAGGTGGGCGGCCTCCCTGGGGTGGTGACATCCTTGCACTGGTTAAGCTGCCATATCCCAAGCTCATACAGTTCACCCCAGGATCATCCTGGAGCGCCTTCTTTAAACCCCTCTTGGCCTCTTGCTTTTGTCTGGGGTGTAAATCAGAAGTTCCTCTGAAGTCAGCCTCTGGCCAGGAGGAGAGCTCATCTCCCTTTTGCCTTCAGAGCTTTCTTAAATTAACCCAGTCCTTAGAATTTTGGGAAGAAACTAAGGGAAAAGTGAAATGGGTTGAGGCTGTTGCTTGGTTCGGAACGTGCGTGCTTAGCACGCTCGAAACCCCAGGCTCCATCTGTAGCCTGCATAAACTGGGTGCAGTGACATATGCTTGAATCCCAGCACTAGAGAGAGGCAGGAGGATTGCCATGAGTTTCTTAAATTAACCCAGTCCTTAGAATTTTGGGAAGAAACTAAGGGAAAAGTGAAATGGGTTGAGGCTGTTGCTTGGTTCGGAACGTGCGTGCTTAGCACGCTCGAAACCCCAGGCTCCATCTGTAGCCTGCATAAACTGGGTGCAGTGACATATGCTTGAATCCCAGCACTAGAGAGAGGCAGGAGGATTGCCATGAGTGTTAGGCCATCCTGGTCTGGATAGCAAGTTTGAAGCCAGCTTGGGATAAACAAAACCTTGTCTCAAAAAAATAAGGCTATTAAATAAAGTTCAATCATAAATAGACGGCCCTGCATTTTCTCTGGAAAATCCAGTGTTAAGAAACCCTGTTGCTATGCTCAGGTGAGACCCCCCCGCCCCCAAATCAGATGGCCTCTACTCCAGTGAAAGCTTATTCTTTAAGCCTGGGAACCCACTGACACTCTACCATCAAACACGGATAGTTGCTAGCCGTCAAGCATTTAAGGTTGGTAGTCAGTGTCCACACCTCAGAGGTCTGTGTTGACTTCTCTAGTAGATAAGTCTGGCTCTGAACTTGAATGGTTTGTCTCTAGAATCCCAACAAAACCCATGATGCCATTGGGTCAAGTTCAGCTCCACCAGGACAGATCCAGGACTCCAACTCCTACCTTTTGTGTCCTAGGTTCTTGGCGCACGCCACCTCCCCAAACTTGGGCGGAGTATTGCCTGTCCCTTTGTAGAGGTGGAAATCTGTGGAGCCAAATATGACAACAACAAGTTTAAGACAACGGTTGTGAGTAAGTAGCAGGCCCTTTCTGTGCGAGCACGTCTGTATGTGTGAATGTGTGTAGATGCATGTGGAGGCCACAGGTTGACATGGGGTGTCTTAACTGTTCTCCACCTTATTTTTTTGGTCTTTTTGAGACAGGGTCTCCTTGTAGCTCTAGTTGACCTAGAACTCTCTATGTAGACCAGGCTAGCCTCAATCTCACAGAGATCTGCCTGCCCCTGCCTGGGATTAAAGGTGTGCGCCACCACACTCAGCTTATCCACCTTACGTTTTGAGACGTCTGTCTTTGAACCTGGAACTCAACAATTTGGCTACACTGACTGACCAATGAGCTCAAGGGATCCACCCGCCTCTGCACCACCCTCCCCTCTGGGGTTGCAGACATGTACCCAGCTTTTACGTGCATCTGTGGACCTGAGCTTAGGGGCCTCATGCCTGTATGACTGGCACTTACTGACTGAGCCCTTTTCCCAGCCCTGGTCCTTACCTTTAAAGGTTAAGGGAGCCGACTCCTAAGTGGGTCGCTGTTCCTGGTGATTTCGTAATGCACGTTTGTTGTTGGGTGTTTTCTTCCGTCCCATCTTCAGCCCCTAGTAGAGGAAACAGAATCACTTGCCTCATTGCCAGACTTTAATCCAGGGAGCAGCACAGGTGCTCACAGTTAAACTGGCTTTAAGAGGTTGGCACGTGTCTTCCCCATGAGGTTGGTCCTTGGTGGCGATTCCCAACATGCACTTCAGAGCCCCCCGCCCTCCTCCCCTCCTACAGCAAAGGGATACGGCTTCCAGGTGCTTTGCTCCCTCCGCTCCCCAGTTACCCCCAGTCTTGGCTCTGCGGTTGGCCTTCCTTCCCTTCTTCTGTTCCAGGAGGTGAGATGGGTGAGGTGGCCTTTTCCTCTGCCTGTGGAGGCCTGGTCACGATCACTTGTTGGGAAGGAAAATGAGAAGATAATCCTTTAGGGTTTCTTAGACCTGAACATAGACACAAATTTGTGATTCTGGAGGGATTCAAAACTGAGGTTGCAGAGCCTGGTTTACCCTGAGGAGGCAGGATACACACCTCTAATGAGCTCTGGTCTCTTTCCAGATGACAATGGCCTCAGCCCTGTCTGGGCACCAACACAGGAGAAGGTGACCTTTGAAATTTATGACCCAAACCTTGCGTTTCTGCGCTTTGTGGTCTATGAGGAAGACATGTTCAGTGACCCCAACTTCCTGGCTCATGCCACGTATCCCATTAAAGGCATCAAATCAGGTAAGGACGTTGTAGCCAACATGTTCATTTGGGGGAGAAGGTTCTTTGATCTGCACTGTGGGTATCAGAAGAACACAGCAGCATTTTCTTGGTTTAGAGGATCACAAGGCTGATCAGAATGTCCTTATGGGGTCTGGCTTCTCTCCCTATGATGTTCAGCACCCAGGTACCACCTCAAGACAACTTCCTCCTTCTCCATCCTGAGACAGAAGATCAGAGATCTTTCTGGATTCCCCAAGGGGTCACTGTTCCCATGTTTCCTAGCAATCATTTTTTTCAAGAGAAAGAAATTGCTATCCTTTCTGCCATTTATATCAAAATATGGTCCTTTGATGTTTGGAAGCCCGGAGTCCATGCAGAGCTGAACTGGGTCTTTGTAAAACGTGGACCAGTCACATGTTTTCTCATGAAGTCTCTCCACCTCTTCAGCCATTTCTGCCGCTCAGCTTACCCTGACTCTGGGAAGGAGTGTCAGCAGCTCCTGTTAGCAAGTGCTGGTTCCTGGGCTCACCACAGGTTGCTCTGATTCAGTCCAGGGTTGGTTAACTCTCCTGGAGGTCCTGGGTCATGCTGGGAGAATGAGGCTGGGTCACAGCTGCCCATCTTAGCTCGGGGGACTACAACACCTATGTGAGAATTTGGGGAGATGCTTAAACCCTCTCACTTGTTTTCAGCTGTTCTGAAATAGCATTTGAATAAATTATGATCACGAGCACCCCTCCTTGGCTGGCGTGCTGATGCTGTGGCTGAGAGTAAACTTGGCAATTGAACTGGGGGTTTTGCCACGTGTCTTTCTTAGATTAGCCCGATAAACAAGGCTCAGGAATGATGCTGTCTCCTCCCAGGCAGGAAGTGTATCTCTGGGTAAATCCTCTGGGTCTGGATCCTGGTCTTAATGTCCTCTTGGCTTTAGGGAACCAGTGTCATGCTCCCCACCCTGGTGCTTGAAGGGTGGGGAAGGCAGCCCTTGGAATGCGGTCAGAGTCAAGGTCACTGCTCTTCACCTTATGGGCTAGTGAGTCAGTTCGTGTAGATGACAAGTTAGCTTGGAAATTAAAAAAAAAAAAAAGGAATCCAGAAGGTACTCACCATGGAGACCTTCGCTCTGTCCTTCCCAGCTCCCAGGTATTCATGGGAGGCAGAAAATAAAATGAACAGTTCCTTTGTACAGAAGGCATCCAGGGCCTTCTGAACTTGAAAGTAAACTTTTCCCATTGTTAGGAGAGCTGCACTTAAGCTTTCAAAGTGGCTGGGGCTTGGGAGGGAGACAGCACTTACTGCATTTAGCTACATTAATTTATTTTTCTTTAATCCTCACAATAATGCTGTAAAAGGATTTTATTCTTTAAATCTTTTTTGTGTTTCAAATCTGAGCACTTTGAGGCCTAGAGATGTGAATTAACCCATTCAGGGTCATAAGCCAGGACCCACCCCTTGCTTTTCCTGCCTTGCAGACTGTCCTTGAGAGGCCTCTTGTTTCAAATGGGTACTGAAAGCTCCCAGTACTGACCTTACTTGAAAATGTTTCTTGTGTTCCCTTCTCCCTATGAAATAAGCAGAACCAAAAAATAAAATTTCACCTTTGGTGAAACTGAGAAATGCCCTCCATCCTTGACTCCAGCCCACACGAAGGGCTGCCTGGTGGTAAAAATGACAGTCGGGCTTTGAGAGGAGACGAGGAGGTCTGGGGACAGCTGGAGGGCAGAGCTCCCACCTAGCTTTAGATGACACACTGTCATCTTCCTGCAAGCTCATCGCAGCCTGGCTGCCTCCTGGGCCACCCCAGAGCCATCCATGTACCCGTTCATTCTGTGAACACTCAGCTGTCCACAGATCAGCTCATGAGGCACAGAATCTTCACTTTAACAGGATTCACAGAGCATTTATAGATTCACAGTAGCAGCTGGCTAGACTGCAGGAATTCTGTGATTGATCCAGACAGAAAACAAAACAGCAAATCAACCGACCACCACCCCAAATAAAAAACTGATAATCTGTCAGGTGGAAATAGGTCTGAAAACTTCAGTATAGTAGTATTTATTGAAAGTGCCACATGGAAGAAAATGTGGCCCGAGAGTTTTATACCCATCACAACTATCACTCCTAAGTTCAAAGGACAGATGTACTTAAACATGCACAGCTCTGGATTCCCTGTCACACCAGTACATGAGGACAAATTTAGCCAACCAAGACAGACGGTTCAGTAAAAAGGAGTGTTGAGTGACTTAATGTTTGTATGTTTCATGGCATATGAATTCTAGAAGAACTCTAATTCTAGAGTTCTGGTGGAAAGGAGAGAACCGACCCCTGCAATTTGTCCTTTGACCACACATGTGCATACACAGAAGAAACAAATATAGTTAAAATTGAAAATACTGATGACTTAATAGAAGAAGATAGGTAGTGGATGTATGTGGGTTTTTTTTTTTTTTTACTTTGAAAATTGTTTTATTCTAAAATGTAAAAACAAAACAAACCAAACCCATATCCAAGCCTTTCTTTGTGGGAGAATTATGGTTATAAAATAGGACACAGGGCAACTCATTTTCAAGACCCCCTCCTTGAGGTGGAGAGCTGTTATTCCATTTCTCAATAAAAATGCTTGCTTGCCATTAAAGACAACAGGAAGCAAGTGTTCTATACCATGGTGGTATAGAAACAGTAATTTCACCCTAAAGAAGGTAGGGGAAAGGAAGGGTCAGAGTTAGGTGGGCATGCTCCTCTTCCTCATCCCAGGTAGAGAAGGGTAGATCCAACAGATATTAATTAAAGGTGATAAAATAGGGCTGCTGAGATGCTCAGAAAGTAGAGGTGGTTTCGGCCAAGCCCAACAACCCGAGTTCAGTCCCTGGGATGCACAAGGTGGAAGGAGAGAGCAGACTTCCCAAAACTGACCATGACCTTTGCACATGTACATACACACTAAATAAATGTAATTTTTATGTGTATGAGTAAAGTGCACCTAAGTGTGCAATGCCCATAAAGGCCAGAAGAGGGCATTGGATCCCCTGGAACTGGCATTGTAGGTGGTTGTGAACTGTCATGTGGGTTCTGAGAACCAAATCTGGGTCTTATGCAAGAGCAGCCCAATGTTCTTAACCCCTGAACCATCTTTTCAGCCCCAGAAATATAATTAAAGTTTTTTATGTGTATATTGCCTGCGTGTAAGTGCACCCATGCCATGCAGTACCTATGGAGGTCAGGAGAACACTGAATCCCCTGGCACTGGAGTTAGCTGTCATGTGGGTGCTGGGAATCGAACCTGGGTCTTCTGCAAGAGCAGTCAGTACTCTCAACCTCTGAGCCATCCCTCCAGCCCCCAGAAATGTAATATTTAAATAGTGCAAATATTCTCTAAGAGAAATGACCTGAAATATAGAGTGAGGAAGAAGGAAGTGGGCCATGTCCCTGACTTGTGCATTGCTGGAGGCCCAGTAGATACCATGTAAATAAGAATCCTCTAAGATAGATGGGTTTTCAAAATCGATGGCTGAGATGTAAGGCTAAATGGAAGCTGTAAGGTGCTGTGCTGTGCTTTTTAAAAGACATCCAAACATCTGCATAGAGGGGAAAGACCATTCATGGTTGTGTGCAGAAGACTAGGGAATGAATGTTCCTAATTTGCTTTTAAAGTATGTACTTAAAATAAGCCAACCAAACAGCTGCTGAGAAGGTTGCCACAAACATTACTTAATGGGGCCGGGGAGTGCGGTGGTAGTGGTGGTGAGGGAGGGGGGAGAATTAGCTCCAGTTTACCCTGCTTCAATCTTAAATAAAAAGAAACATTTCAAGGACTGTTGGACATGGGTCTTGATTGTAAATAGGAAATGGGTTCCAAAGGAGGGTGATCAATACAGCCACAGACTATCAAGGGATAGCAAGATTGGAAATCATTGAAGATAAAGCCCACTCCCTGGTTCTGTGCTTTGTAAAGGACTGAGTTGAGGCAGAGGGTAGAGGGTTCATTATTGTTCTTGACCTCCTGAGTATTTAGGGACTTAAACCACAGTAGCAGCAGGAACTCTAAATTCAATGTGAAGTATTCTTTTTTTTTTTTTTTAAGATTCACTTTTATTTTTGTGTGTGGGTACCTGTGGAGGCCAGAAAGGTCCTTTAGACCTGGAGTTACAGAAGGTTGTGAGCTGCCTGACATGGGTACTGGGAACTGTACTCAGGTCCTCTGGAAGCGCAGTACATGCTCTTAACTGCTGAGCCATCTCAGTATATTTAGAAAAACCATCTCAGTATATTTAGAAAGGAAGTAAAATCCCACCTTCTGTGGGGTTTTACTTTTCTAAATAAACTTATGTGTGTGTATGTATATGGGCATGTGTGTGGCGATCAGCAGATAACATCAGCAGATAACGTCAGGGAGTCAGTTCTCTGCTATCACATGGGTCCTTGGGATCAAACTCAGGTTACAGACTTGGCAGCAAGTTCCTTTACCTGCTGAGCCATCTTGCTGGGCCAGTTCTCATTTCTTCTGAGTGAATAATTTTCATATATGGATGGCAGGTGTTTTAAACTTAGCTCACATGGATCTGTCAAAGAGGTGGTGGCGTACACCTGTCCCAACACTCGGGAGGCAGAGGCAGTTGGATCTCTGTGAGTTCAAGGCCAGTGGATCTGTCAAAGAGGTGGTGGCGTACACCTGTAGTCCCAACACTCGGGAGGCAGAGGCAGTTGGATCTCTGTGAGTTCAAGGCCAGCCTGGTCTACATAGTGAGTTCCAGGACAGCTGGGGCTACAGGGAGACC